TTTCCAAATTCACTTTTTCAAGAGTTTGAGAATTATTTTGGATTATCATGGACTTCATTTCGGATTTTTGTTCTTCTAAGTCTTGGATTAAATTTTCACGTATTTTGGTATCACATTCATATATTTCTGCTTTAAACGTTTCTTTCATTGTAAGGATCTCTTTGGAATGTTGAATCTGAGTTATTTGTATCTGATCCATTTCCTTACGCATGTTTTCTTGGTTAGTTTTAACAGAGGTGATTTTTTCTTCAAGGGAAATCTGGCACTGTTTAATTTCACGCTGAATTTCTGATTTTAAATTATCATTTTGTAATTTTATTTCTGACATTTCAGATTGTATTTCTAATTTTAATGTGTCGTGTTGTGAAATTATTAATGCATTATTCTGTTGAACCATTCGCATTAATTGAAGAATAGAATCATTCATATTTATTTCACTCGCAGCTGTTAGAGGCAGTGATGCGATGTCTGTGACTCCAGTCGTATGTTCATTCGATGTCAGTGTGGTGGCTTTCATAGTGACGTCACTCACATCAGCTGATTTGTCTGTCTGTTGTTGTGACGATTCATCTCCGCCGTTCTTCTTCTCCTCTATGTCAAGTCCTTCTGCTGTGTCCAGTTCTCGTTCCACCATTCCCTGTGTTCCCATTGGCTGGTGTGAATTCGATGCGGATGTCATGGCGGCGTTGTCTTGTGCGTCTGCTGTGTTGTCTGTTCTAGTTCTAGTAGTGACGCTTTGTATATGAATGTGTTCTTGTAGATCGTGTCCTTCGTTGTGCTGTGTGTTCATGTCGTTTGATTGTATGTTGTTTACGGTGTTCACAAAATTATCTTGCTTATTAGCATTTGCTAATTCGCCACAATTATCGTCTGGGTCTGATTCACTGTCGGTATTGTAACGCAAATTATTTTCGGCTGCCTTCCACGATAACTTCGGCTTTGGTCGTAAATTGTACCTTTTGTCATCGTCACTCATATTGATTAAATAAATGATTATTCCCTGTGTTGTTGCATATACTTTTTATTTGTGTATTTGAAGGTTTGTTAGTTGTGTGTTAATTTGGTTACTAGGGCCTATCTTAAATTGTGTAGGTTAATCGTAGGTTAGGCCTAGATCAGAATTTTCAATAGCCCCACGTTGGGCGCCAATTTGCAACCTACTCCTCTTTATTAATGAATTTCAAAATATGAATTTACTTAAATTAGATAATAAAATTACAATAAAGTTATAATAAAATATATTTAGGTTCTATAGCTATTACAATAATCTCATTCGGCTAAGATAGTGAAATTATATTTTGGTTTAGGTTTTTTTTTTTGATGGGCTAGGCTAGTTAACAATTTGGAGAGAAAATTATCTTAATCTAGGGGTTGGTTCGTGCCGGGTATGGAATTCTGATAGGCTGATTAACTTAATTCATACAGTACTAAATATAGGCTAAATAATAGGAGATAGGCTAATAATGAGAATAAAAAAAATTAGGCTATAAGTTCTTAATTTGAAAGTCACTTGAATTTAGTCAATTCACAATGTGGTGGTTGGAAATTGATGATGAGTTTTTTAAGTGTTAATTGAGGTTGATATTACCAATTTTGTTGAATAGTGATTTTCTTCTTTCTTTAAGTTATGTCTCTTTATATTCAATATTTATATGTATTCTGAATGTTAATTTTCAATTTTGGATATTTAAATCACTGGAGACTTGGCTCCCACATCCATCTCTTTCTATATCTTCGGGGTAGCGGATTTCTACCCCCGGATATTTACCCCCATGAAAAAACGCCTACGTCATTTTGACGTCACGAGGGGCGGGGCCTATACACGGTCGAGAAACAGCCCGCGACTGGAAATTTACCCCCAATATATTATTAAATAATCAACATGTAATTGTTTGATTATAAAGTTATTTGCCATAGCACGGAAATCTACCCCCGGATATCTACCCCCAGACATTTACCCCCGGATATCTACCCCCGGACATCTACCCCCGGAAATCTACCCCCGGACATCTACCCCCAGATATCTACCCCCGGACATCTGCCCCCAGACATCTACCCCCGGACATCTACCCCCGGACATCTACCCCCGGAAATCAACGGCTCTTCGGTTAAGCATTGTCTTGTAATATCCAGTATTAAGCATGCGATATGTCATTGTCTTGTTTAACATTATCTATCTTCCTAATTCAATAAGCTGCAACAGTCCTTTTTTCACCCGACCTTCTTCGCCGATTGTTACGATTGAGGTGTCATTTTAAAGCTTAAGATCTTGCGCAGAGCAAAATGGTAATTAAAAAGCATATTTCGATTAGGGCTTCAAAAGGTTGACCCCTAAGCCTTTGATTTATTCCTAGAAGGTGCTTCCAATGGTTGACCAACTTTCACACTATACAATAACAGTTATAAAGGTGAAATGTGCGCAGATTACTAATCAGTTCCATTTTTAAGTCAGGTTGAAAACTAGAATAGATCGTCTGCAACTGTGAACAAGAGATGGAACACTACCCCAAAACGACTTTTCGTTCTCAATTGGCCCTCTATCAATAACCTGTGTTGCCTGTACAGCAAGGCATTTTGAGAAGGAGAAAACCCGCCGGATGAATGCTTTAGGTTTATCAATAACGAAAATAAACATGGTTTTAGTTACACACCGGTAATCTTTGAGTTGACTCATTTAAACTCATTGTAAATATTCATTGTTATTCATTTTGAAATAACTCCTTTAACACTTTGCAATTGCTCGAATTCGAGCAACATGTACACTAAATACATATTATTGCACTTACGATTTATTTGATCCGTTTATTTACGTGAGTCACAACATTTTTAATCTTACTTGGTTTTGGATTTTATTACAAAACTTGATCGGAAATGGTTGCAGTATTTGTAAACTAAATGTAATAACAAATTTCCAGTGACAGCTAGAAAAAATAATTTTTATCCAGCTTTTCATCTTTAACAGCTGTTCGTTATTTCATTGATGTCGTATTCTCCAAACAAATTATTAGTATTTCATTAAATACTGGTAAACATTAGGAGTAGCCTAAACTTGACAAAAATGCAAAAAATTGGGGGTTTGAACCAAATTTATTTTAATTCAAAAGTAGTGAGGCCATATTTTAATGGCTTGAGTTACTCGTGTCAATCCACCGAATCCAAAAAGACTATTTAAATCGAATCACGATCGATGCTCTAGTTTTTGAGAAGAAGGCCACGTAAAATGCCTTCTGGGCCTTGACAGACAAGACAGAAATTGAGATACAGACTTGTTTTGGCTTCTTTAATGTATGAAACGTAAAAATGATAAAAATAAATAATTTTAAGCAATGTTCATACTAAACTTTAATTTCATTAAAATAAATTCGTAAAACCAAAAGAACCATGAGGTAAAAATACCTTCCCTATCCCGAAATATCCAATTTTATTCTTTTACATTATTCTCCGTTATTTCACAACCAGCATTGACAACCAGAACCAATCATAAAATATGTTTATGTTTTATTTCTTACGATTTATTATATGTGTAAACAACTAGACTTTTTAACCAATGTAAAACTCCGGATAGTGTCTACGACATAGGAGGTAATTACTACTTATTACTAGGAGGTAATTGATAGTGAAAAAATTATTAATTCATTAATCAACCTGTGGCAGGCTTTTTATCAACATTTAATTGCATTTTTACCACTAGTAATCAGAAAATAACCTCCTTCAGTGATATGTTTTAAATTTCACGATCTGCGCTCGTGCATGTGCCGTTGCCGTTAGCTATGAATGTATGTGAAAATTGGTTAACAATTTAAATCACTGTCTGAAAATAAATCAAATGCTTATGGGTTACACTTTTGGAGCCCTTTATCAAAATATCCTTTTAAATTACCATTTGCGTTGCACTGAAACTCCTAAGCTTAAAAATTACACCTAAATCAGTAACAGCTTAATGAATTGGGAAGATAGATGACATTAAACAAGACAACGACATATCACATGCTTAATACTAGATATTAGAGAGTAATTATTAAACGAAGAGCCATTGATTATTTTTATAAACCAATTACTAAAATCAACTACAACAATGAATATTGACCGATACGTAGTGTTGCACGGGGGTAGATTTCTGGGGGTCGGAAATAAATAATTCCGGGGTCAGACATTTATGATTTGACCACTGGGGGTACATTTCTGGGGGTAGATTTCCGGGGGTAGATATCCGGGGGTAGATGTCTGGGGGTAAATGTCCGGGGGTAGATGTCCGGGGGTAGATGTCCGGGGGTAGATGTCTGGGGGTAGATTTCCGGGGGTAGATGTCTGGGGGTAAATGTCCGGGGGTAGATGTCCGGGGGTGGATGTCTGGGGGTAGATTTCCGGGGGTAAAGTTCCGGTGTCAGGTTTATTAGCATTTTGATTAATTACAACTGTTAAGTAAACCGTGAAATGCGAGTTGATTGAATATACAATAATTTATCCATCCTAAAAGTTCGCGGCCGGAAATCTACCCCCATACATGTGACGTCAAAGTGACGTAGGCGTTTTTTCATGGGGGTAAATATCCGGGGGTAGAAATCCGGCGACCCATATCTTCCACCACAAGCACATTTTCTTCCTTTTCTTTAGCTTTCCTTCCAACAATTACTTCACACCTGGACACTGGACAGTACAAAAGAAATATTTCCTACCTAGACACTATTTAATTTTAGAATGGTATTTTTGAATATAGTTTTTCTTCTTCACTAATTTATATTTCATTAAATTTAAATATTCTTTTTGAAAATACAGTAATTAATAAATATAAATATTAAAAGTAATTTAGCTACAATTCACATATGAGTACATTCATGTTTTATCTCAAACTACTAAATAAACTAATTCAATTAGCTACAAATTTAGTTGCACTTTCAAGTTGTTGGGAGAATGTAAATTATGATTTAAGCATAGATTTTAAGACAAATGTTTGGTTTAGTTTTTTAAAAATTAAAATAACTGAATCATACTGTGATTACTTGTTGTCTGGTATGTTGAGCAGCAGAGACACGCTCTCCTGCACAGCTTGAGGCCACTGAGAGGAGCAGAAGACGTCCAAACTGTCATCATCAACCGGGACTGTCAAGCAAGTCAACGTCTCCAGTGTGAAGTGGTACTGTCCTGGCAGTCTGTAATCTCCTTTCACTACTTTTGTAACTCCAGCTGAAAATAGTATTACAATGATTAGCACACTTGGAAAGGTGTGATATTAGACGTGTTATGGATGGTATGAAATAAACCCATAATAATAGAATTTTATCCATGATGACGTTTTGAGAGCTTCTCTAAAACTTTACCTTCAAACTTTCTTTCCTAACTCATGTTTGGAAATATTGTAATAGATTCTGAATGACTAATGGAAATCTAAAATCGGATGAACTCGCTAAACTTGTTAATGGGTAGATCCTTATCTGGGCAAAGGTTGGTTTAAATTTTGTTGTTCAATTTGCACTAGGAAGTATAATTGTTTCTCGTGGATCCTTCTCACCATCCCTATTCACCCTCTCCTCTTTGTTCCCTTGTTTCATTTGTCTATGCTGTGTACACTTTAATACGAAATTGTCACTACTTTCTCTTATACATCGGCAGATACAAAAAATATGTATGTTTGTGATTAGATTACGTTCTGAACAAATTAGTATAAAGAAAATGTACAGCATTAAACCTGTTTCTACAAATTTCTTTGTGTTACGTTAAACTGTGTTCTGAAATAAAATAGTGTGGCTCTTATCCTAACATTAATTCAAATCTGCAATGAAAGTTCCGTATATAAATTTGAACAAAGGTATATTCATCTAAAGATGGTGAAATAATTGTAATTTAATCACATAAACTGTTACACACTTTGTTATATCATGATGAATATGAATTTGCAAGGCTTTCAAAATTGTTCTCGCTTACATTTCAAAACAGGTATTAAAGCTGTTCAATGAGATAAATATTTTGTTGCCTGTCATCCTCGAACTGTAAGATTGGTTTCAGGTATCGGCTAATAATTGGACTGCCTATTATTTATATATTTATTTTTCATTTTTACTATTTTGCTTGTATTTTGAAAGTACAAGTTCAAAAGTACCAACAGTATATTTAAGGGCAAAAACACAGACTGTGTCTCTTTTATTTTTACACAATTCTGCATATAAACAAGTGTTAATTAACTTAGTTTTTTTCCTAAAACCTCAGAAAACACAGAAAACAGTACATGTACAAGTTACTTTTTGGAACGGCAGTTTTCCCTTGTCTGAACACGACTCTGGAAGTGTCATGTTTCTTGACTGCCTCCTCTACGTCCAGTACAGGTGTCGTCTGGTCTGTGTAGTTGATACTGATCAGCTGTGCAGCCTTGTCCGCCAGTTGTTGACTACAAGCCACTACCAGACCTACAGGCTGTCCCGCAAACTGCACCACTTTCTCTGCAAACAACTGTATAACAACACTGCCATTTGAAGAATACACATTTCAATGGATTATAGCTACTGTAATACAAATATAGATTGAACGGGATATACAGTCACCTCAAAAACTGTTATTAGAGCTCATTTAGTATACTTAGACATACTATTCTGAGTAGAGTAGGTGTTCTAGTTCTCTCACTATCCTCCTTCAGTGTATTTAATAAATTCTTTTATCTATTTAAAATTAATTATCTACTAGGTACTAACTATATTTAGTTTTAACATTTAATACTACTTATAGTTTTGATAGATAGTAACAGTTTTTTTACATTTTGTTTCCAGTGAATTCTGATCATTCCTGCAATTGAATTAACTTAAGGTTTGGGTTACAAACACAATAATTACCTGTTCTCTATAAGACTGAAGTAGGTTGTTTGTAGTGAAAGTATTTTCTCCAGGAATGTCTTGAGCAGAAATAAATGTCACAACTCCTGGGATTTTCTGAAGGGAAAATTAGCATTGAACTTGAATGAAATATTGCATCTTAGACTACAATTTTAGTAATTTTACTTGCTTCATTGATTGAACATATAATCTCAAAAACAGCCGTTTCTATATGTTCATCACTAAAATTTTTAATTATTGAACGATTTGTTACCTTTAGCCTTTGTTCTTGCAGATGTGTTTAGATTGCTCCAATATTTTGCCACACGGACACGGGCAGTTCTATTTTGAAATACAGATATACACAGCACAACTCTGTAAGTTTATTAACAAGGCTAAAGGTAACAGTTAAATAATTAAATTTTCTAGTTCTTTCGGGAAAATAGATACAATTTTTATTGGCATAAAATCAAATATAAATATCACCTAATGGATTTAAATATATCAATATATTTAACAGTTGTAATCTTGACTTGATTGTAGTCAATATTTAATTTGGTTGTTTTTGTTTTTGTGATTTTTTTACTTTTCAAATGCTTTCTGAATAACCCTTGTATTTATGATATTGGTCTTGGATTATATTTTTAAATAACAGAGTTTAAAATAAAAGCAATAAAAAAGTAAAATAAACATACAGTAAAAAAAAATCACACCTAGATCATGTTCAAGATCACTTTATCTTTCCGCTAATGTATAAGACATAATTAAAAACAATCATTCTTTTTAAGAAGTATTCTGTCCATATTAAAAACCAACTTTTCTATATAAAAGCTACCTTTACCTGTTGAGTAAATTTTAACAGAACAATACCATATTTTATATACTTACTAAGGCTTTCGATGAATCTATGCTTGCAAGTTTAGCAGGCCCTTGCTTGGCTAAGACTAATGCAGCGTAAAGATCTTTCACTGATGAACGGATGTCAGGTATGTATTCTGCTTCTCCTAAAATTGTATTAGGGTTGTATTGTATATGCTTTTTCTTGTATAGAGATAAAAAATAATTAATCACAATTGCAAAAATATTTGTCTAAAAATTCCTTTTGCTATGATTTACTTCAAAGTGTCCATTTTTGGGTCACTCTTTTCTTATTGCCTTAAGCTATTATCCATCTAATATTTTAAGAAAATTGTACATATTTTCTGAGAGAAACAATAGAGAGCAAACTTTAGTTGAGCCAAGGTACTAGAGTTAAGTTTCAGAATCCAGTTTTACCAAATCTACTGTAAAAAAGCAATCAGTGGTTTTCAATGGAAGAGTTTGCTGATGACCATTGTTTCTTGAGTTTAAAGCTGAACATCCTCTATATTTGTTTTTAATATTTTATTAGAGTATAAGCTTCATTACAATTATATACATCTAAGTATAAGTCTCTTAAGATTAAACTTGTGAATAAGCATATAGCCCAAAAAAAATTTTTATGATTGACTTTTAAAATTGGTTAAACAAACAAATAACTTGATAAAATCTTCAAGGCAAAATCAATCAAACAACAAGCTAAAATCTCTAAAATAAAATAAACAAATTAATCAAACTAATTATTTTATTGCAAGTGAGTGCTAAATAATCCACAATCCACAACCAATTTGCATTAGGTTCATCTATAATGGTAATTATAATGTAACAATGGTTACTAAGTATTACTGTTGAATTTGAAAACTGCTGCTAGACTTCTCATTTGATCTTAAACTTTAAATCTATAAGTATAAAAGAGGATGTTTGTATATATATTTGGCAGTGATAAACTCAGACACCGCTGAACCGATTGCCACGAAACTTGGTACATACATGTAGAATAAGAGGATGTTTGTATATTTGGCAGTGATAAACTCAGACACCGCTGAACGGATTACCACGAAACTTGGTACATACGTGTAGAAATTCATGGAATAGGTTTATACACCATCAATTTCGTGATCCGTTCAATCGGCTCCGCCCCAGTGGCTCTGGAGTTTCCCATGTTGACCTTATGAGAAATGGAATTAATGAATCTTAACAGCTGTTTCAATTAAACAAGTTGGTTCTGTTCTATGATGTTCAATAGCATTAAAGTTACAAGGATTACCAACAGGGTGCAGCACCCCCCCCCCCCCAACATGTTATTTCTTTTACATTTATGACAACAGCTAATTTGCAACCAAAAGGTGAGTGAGCATAGCGAACGAACTTCAACCTGGAGGCAAGTTAGCGTAGTGAACGAGCTAACCTGAAGGCAAGTGAGCGTAGCAAACGAGCTAACCTGAAGGCAAATGAGCGCAGCCAACGAGCTCCAACCTAAAGGTGAGTGAGCGTAGCAAACGAGCTCCAACCTAAAGGTGAGTGAGCGTAGCAAACGAGCTCCAACCTAAAGGTGAGTGAGCGTAGCGAACAAACTTCAACCAGGACATGATTGAGCCATGCGAACGAGATCATCTTGAAAATTAAGAAGTTAAACGGGGCAAAGCCCGCGGGTTACAGCTAGTATAGTATAAAATATGTTTGAGCACACAGACCTGGATAAAATGAATTCTCCTAGATATAGCAAACATAAAAACAAAAACAGACTCTACATGTACCAAACCAAAACATACAGAATTACTAAATTTTTTCAGTTAATCCAAGAGGATGGCCAATCTACAAGAAGTATGTTCATACCTGAGCACTGGATAAGTGATTCCAGTTTAGGGAGTGGTTGATAGAGAGGTGGTTGACTCGTATCACAAGAGTACTCTTGCTTGCCTGAGGACAGTGGTCGTACTAGATCATCCCCACCACTGCGAATTTTGGGAGCAATGTTATCTGGACTTAGGCTCAACACCGCCTGGTTGATAAAGGAAAAATATATGTTTTAACAAAATTACCTGGATATACTAAGAGTAAAATAGTGTATGTAAAACAGTTGTCATTTTTAGACTAAATTAACTACAAGGGATTATGATTAAAGACTGGTCAATTACATGAGAGCTTCTTGAAAAACACTAAAACGGAACACAATAAGGTTGGTTATCCAGAAGAGGATCAAACAGGAGTGTCAATGAGCAGGAAATAAATAAATAAATAAACTCATATGCAGTGAGGCATGAACAAACTGGTACATTTGGTGACGGTCAGTACTGAATCTTCTCTATAGTATTCCTGGTTGTAAGCATAATAATTTATACTAGATAAGTTTTTGAGTACATAAAATTTCAATTTAAAATTTGCTTTGTTTCACAGTTTCGTCAATAAATTCTGGGTTTTATTTTTTAGTTCTTGTCACACTGAGAACACAGGTTTCATGTCTCATTAATAATTGTATCTTCCTCCAAACAAAAACTGATGCTCTAAAATATCAGTATAACTATGACCAACTATGTAACCAAATTGTTGTTACTGTTTACGCTATAGGTAAACTTTGGTAACTATTTGTCACGTCCAGGTAATTATAGTTACCTTGTACAGTAGAGCCTGGGCAAGACCTCGTCTGTAGAGGGGGCTGCAGTTTCTCTGGTCACGGTCAGGTTTCAGTTCTGTACCAAGAATTGTCAAGGCTTTCTGCAGCACTACTACGTCAAGTAAATGTTTTCCGTTTAAATAATCTTCGGTTGCTCGAGCATGAACCTTGAGCAAAACCATTAGATGTCTTTATTGGATTACGTGTAAAATATTGAGATCAAAATTAAGAAATCGTTTTAACCTCTTTCCATACCTACCTACTGTTTGTTGTATTTTTCTTTAAAAAATCGTGAAATATAATTAAAGGTAATGGAATAACTTATTGCAAGAGGTTCTTTTGCTTAAATATCACCATTACATGTTTATCTTGTTTCATAGATGCTACCCTACTAATATTTCTTGGTCTCTGTTACTAATATACTCCCAGTGTTGGCAATTAGATAGGGCATGGATGGCAACCCCAAATAACCCAAATATGAGTGAAGGATGAGTGTTGAATGGTGTGTGGTGACCTGTGTAGCTTTGTTACTGACTAAGATCAGCGGTTTCATTAGTCAGGATCATTTATTTAAAGCCCAATGATCAGGAACAGCTTGGTCCAGTTTCGAACCATCAAAAAGCTACTGACTTTTCTCAGGATCGAACCGGCGACCTTTTGATTACTAAGCGAGCATTTTGTGCGAAATAAAGGGATTAACTCAGAACATTGAAATACAATCTTTTTTTTAGCAAATTTCCCACATAGGGAATAAGCTATTTAATTGGTTGACTGCCTTTTTGACACTGCACCTGACCGTCTACATGAGCCATAGGTCTATCTGTGCACACAAATCATATTAGGCAAATCAAGGGAGTAGATAATACAAATTAATGAAAATCCTTTCATTATTTAGTTAAAGAAGCAACAGTAGAAATCTTTTTAGAATTGTGCCTCTGAAATATTAACCAACAACATCTTTTCCATGATTTACAGTTCAGCTTAGCCAAACAAGCCGATGTATTGCCTTTCAAACCTCAAGTTTATTTGAGCAAAAATAAAATTTCTAAAGAATGTATTCTTTTTTCTTACCAAAATTGTATTTAAACTATGTCAAGCAAAGTACTTACAAAGGATGAGTTGATGTTTCCATACACCAGGCTAGGTCGTTCCAAAACTTGATATCCATTACTTTTGTTAACTTTGAATCTGAACCCAGCATTTAGGTATGCTAATGCATTCTGAGCTCTTGGTGAAATCTAGAAAAAACATTTTGTGTTACAACTCTAACCCTCACCAATGTGTGTGCTTGGGTTGTCATACATTTTTTAACACTGTTTCATCAAAATGAAAGAATGTAAATGTTACATATCACATTTTATTATGTAATATTATGTAATGTATATTATGTAATGTAATAATAAAATATTCATTTTATTTATTTAAAATCATCCATAGTGTGGGGGGGGGCAGAACCCAATAAATTATTCTTTATGAATAAAGCATATTTGATTTGATTTAATTATGTTAAGCGTTTATCAATAGTTTTCCCTCGATATTCAAGTGTTGAAGTGCTCTTGTTGGTTTATTTGCGATTTTTTATACTAGGTATTTGTTATCTCAAACTAAATTAAACTTAAATTTAATTTTTAGTTGAAAAAGTCTTTTTGAAATGCTTATTTTATTGGTATTTTAGTTTGGTTGAACCGTGTTATGTTTGTTTCAGTAAATATAATCTTTTTACCTCATTCTTGTTTTTAATTACTATCATTGTCTGTCATTATTATTGACATTTTTACTATTTATTAATCGTACACTTAATTTATCGTTATGTTTAGTACTAGTCTAGTTCCAGTTAATTCTTGCATATTTATTTCTTGTTGGGAGTCAAAAAAAAAATATAGTATAGAGTAGTATTTTACCACACATATGATATGTGATTGTACCAATTCATCTACACACTATAAACTTCACTTGGGAAAGGTGACACTGTAATCCTAAAAGCATCCATTTGATAGAAAAGACTGTCATCGTCACTTGTCAGTTAATGCCTTGTTTTCTTAAATAAAATTAATTAGTTTATTAATTGGAGACAGGCATACGGTACCTTGTAAGTAACAACTTCATTTGTAGAGCTGTCAAGAGGAGGTAGAATTATTTGAAGAATCACTTTCTTGTACATATTAAGTTCTAAATACTCAAGTAATGAATGTGTTGTAACAGATCCGTTTTCACTTCCTAAAAAATTAAATACATTTTTAACAACTAGTCAATTAAATATAAAAAAATACCACAAAAAAGTGGCGCAACCGGACACAATTTTTTTTTCAGAAGACAGAATTGGAAACAACTTTACTGACAAGTGAACAACTTAAATTTTTTTTTTTTTTTTCGCTCAGAGTTTAAGTATCCAAAGCACCACACCAAAGGCATTTATTCTGTTTGTACCAATAGCACTTGAAAAATGCGTTTACTTATACAGCACTGTCAGCACTTCAACTCAAGGACTCAAGGCATTGATTTGCAGTTTTGATTTGTAGTGAGCTGACAGTCGGCAGTGTACAGCGCGGCGCCTGTGAGTTTCATTTGATGACTCATGCTCGAGATAAGCGCGCAGCGCCACTACTTGTCACAATAAGAATCTTCCCCCTCCCTTCTACCCCTGATCATTCACCCCTCCTAGAGCAGAGCAGTACGTTGTATCGCTCTCTTAGTTGTATACCGATACTGTTTTTCATTGTAATAGGCTTTATAAAAACTTATATCGTATCCAAGTTATCCTGTAAAAATTTATTTCACATTTAGAAATAAATTATTATCCAAGGGTTTTGCTAAAGTGTGATGAGTAAAAAAGAGTAAACATTTTAAATTTCTGTGAATAATAAACAGTAGTTGAAATTTTTCACCACACTATACCCCACCTATACCCTATTACCACTATTCCCCGCAATAATAATGCACACTGATAGTCAACTCAACTACAACTTTAAGGTTATGTGAAGAAATAATTTGAGGAATCAGCAAAAATAATAATAAATAGTTGCGGTGACAGTAAAACAATTTTATTGCAAGTATTCTTCTAACATAAACTTATAAAAAATTTCTTCCCAAACATTTCACAAATAGGGTTAAGTTATGTTCCTATTGGGTGGGGTGGGGGGGAATTCTAGGTGGCGCTGATTAGGGTGTTTGCTTAACTCTGAAAAATTCCTAGAACCGGCCCTGATTTAACCCTATTTTTAAGTACATACGCCTTTTCAGTTTAAGACAAACATGAAGATTTTGTTAATCAACAACTGAGGAGGATTGCAAGGATTAATAAATTCATGAGAATTAACATACAACGAGCAAAAAGCATTTTTGTTTGATCTTGGATTGAATTGATTCATATTTGTTGTTCACTATTCAGGAATCATGTGAATACTGTGGGTTCCCACAAGCCTGTGGCTAGCAGCAGAAAAATTTGCTTAATTTACTACAAAAATGAGTGTGATGGCCATATAAAAGCTGGACTTAAAGCAGCAGGAAAATACAGTCGCGTGGTCGAAGTCTTAACACCCACATGAATCAGGAGGTTCTCGTCTGATAATAATGAAAAAATGTGTCTGGTAACCTGGTCTGATTTGTTATCCAGAAGTCCAGTGACATGGCATCCTTTCTGCAATTAATTTACAATTATTCTATCGGACAACGGTAATAGTTGTAAAAAATATAAAACTGTATATATCATATTTTTTTCATAACTGGTTTGTTTAGTTACAGGTTGTTTATTACTCACTAATTGACAGCACAGCTCCTACTGTTTCTAGAATAACAAATAGGTCAGATTGGAAGTGTTTATACTGATGTTTTAAAGAGAGGTTGCCAGCTATTGTCCCCACCTAAAACAACCAACCACAAACAAATTATACTAAATAGTCTCCACTAAAATACATTTATATTTTTAGTTATTTTCTAAGAATGCCTTTTTGATATTTTTCCTTTCAAGGTAAAATTTCTGCCGTTTAGCAGACAATATTAGATGTCTTAAACTGAGCTCCTGAAGTAAGCATTCAGAAATCTAAATTCAATAGACCAAATGTTTTAGCAACCAGATGAAAATAAAATGTTCTAATATCGCTTTGAAAAAGGTTCACACTTAAGAGTAAATAAAGCTGGTAGACAATAGGTTAAAAAAAGATGATGTACATTCCAATGAAAAACCTATCACATTGTTTCCGATTTATTATTAAAATGTATTTACTGTCTTCTGTCTTCTGTGTGTACTGTGTAGAAAATCAATGTGTTTTTTCAAAGTGTTCTACCAGTATACAGGCCGCTTATCGCACCGGGGACGGGGCATTAAGTTCAGTCATCGCAAGTCAAGACGCCTCTTCGTGAGCCTTGCCAGGTGCTACAGGCACCACCAGTGCTCCCCGTGGCTTTGGAGATTAATTGTTTTCCCTTTGCTGTTCTCAGTGTTTGGATGCTTTGACATACAGTAGACTCCCCCTTATCCGGACTCCTCGGGACCGAGGCCAGTCCGGATTAAGTTTTCCCAAAAACTTGTTAAAACGGACCATTTAAATGCATACTGTATACAGTATTTGACTTAAATTTAGGAGAGCATTGTATTAAGACACGTGATCACTGGTCTCAAATCTTTCCCACGACAACAATCGTTTCAGTACTGCCCACTTCCTGCCAATTTAGTCTGGTTAAACCGATTCGCTGATAAAAATTGTCCAGTTAAAGAGATGTCATTTCCGCCAAGTGCGGTCCGGTTAAAAGGTGTCTGGATAAGAGGGAGTCTACTGTATTATCCTTGATGTTCTTGGCAAAGAGGATGTTTTTCATTAAAGTATCTTTAAAACACAATTTAAAAACTACCTAAACATTTAACAAAGTAAATAAATATTTTAATAGCTATTTACATTACAAGTGTAGTAAGAGCGTTTTTACTTCACGCAGGTGAATGTTGTGCAACGAGCGGAAGCGAGTTGCATAATTCACCTAAGTGATGTAAACACGCTCTTGCGTAAGTGTAACGTACAAGATTTTACCTGACCCGACAATATACATGGGTTTACGTACAATATTTTTCATTATCCATTTCACTCATCTTCTATCAGTAATGTTCTTTTACTAACAAAAGCTAGGTTAGGTAGGAAAATACTTTAAAGCATAACAATAACATTCAAGCGCACAGCTGATTTCTAGCGTTGAACGTCGTTGGCTCCATAGAGTTATATTTTTTAAGTTAAGCACTCAATGTTATTTAAATGGGTTTCTTTACATCACCGAGTGAGTTTTTGATACTTTACATCACTCGAGAAAGAGAAGTAAGGAAGTTGTATACATCACGCTTGGGATAGGGAAGTTTAACATGGCGGGTTAGGTAAAAGGGTTTAATATTTGACATTACTTTAAAGATTTAATGTATTGTAAAATAAATACCTCACTACTTACATTTCTTACAGCAACATTTCCAACTTTCCAGACGTGTTTCGCTAGCTCCAGCAAGTATGAGAACTGACCCGGCCGGTCCTGTGCAGCTCGTCTGAGAATGTCTACAGTGTCAGACAGCGTTACATTGGCACCCAAATACAGCCCGTCTGATTGGTACCAGTGCTCTTTGAGGAAAGATACACCATTTATGTCTATGTAGGCATCAGGAGTTTTTTCATACTTAAAAATACCTGCAAAACCATGTTTAGGTTAGGAAGACTGAAATGGTATAGCATAGCAACATTTTTTTTACAAAACATTTTAAGGATCTAATAACATTTACTGTAATCTGAGATGAAACACGAATGAGGATAAGAATTGAACAAGCAATGTTGAAATTGATCATAATCCTTAGGTTTCAAATTTGTTTATCACCGTTATTTCTGTACTGACCTTTGTCAATATGTGGATTGGTTATTTATTAGACTACCAATTCTTTAGAACAACCCTTACCACAGCACCAGCCTAGCCATTTGTTTATTTGTATCTCAACGAGTTTTGAACACATACTCCATTGGTTCAGAAAACTTGTGACACATTGGCCGCGAAGTGAGATAAAATAGGAATGAAATATTGTTCAAAAGAAAATAAGAAGCATTAATTTTATAACACACTGCATTCATTTAGACATAACCAGACCTAGAAGCAGGCCATAAACACAAAATTGGCAATTTTATCATGAAAAGATGTTGCAAAATTGTGCTATGACACGTTTTTCAGGCTAATTCTGACCTCATTTACTATAATCCTTTAACAACAGAGAGTATGCAAATCAAACTGCCGGGGTTGTTAGCATTACCTCGACTGGTAAAGCCAGCTACCAGCATGTAAGTGCCACTTATCATGGTGAAGATCTCAAATATCTCATTAACACTGTCCACCTTGTACCACTGCACATGTCCGCCACAAGTTAGTCTCAAGGACGGGGCAGCCAACGCCATCTCTACGAACTCTGCATCACTCTCCTCCCACTCACAATCTTCTGGATCACACTTCTTTTTGCAGGTTTTACCTTTTTGACAAGTTACAATCAAATCCTGAAAATTAGTCCTAACGTTAGAAATACCAACTAAAGTGACATTTTAGCATCCAATTGTAAATATTCAGTCATAAAGGTTCAACCAACTTTTCTCAATATTCGTAAAAACTATGTGACTCCTAATAAATAAAAGTTGTCACATTAAGTACACATATAGTGTTTTATATGTATTTTTCTTTTTTTTTTTTTTTTTGTGGGAAGAGTAAATGTTTATTGTAGTCCTACCGGTAATGATAGTTTAATCAGATTTTATTACTCACAAAACATGAAAGAAAAACAATTTTATTGAGTAATGTGAATATATTTAACAGGAGATCCTAAATTGAAATGAGCCAAGTCTATCTGAATAGTACACAAACATGTATGAGAGGGAAAATGTAATGACAGGTTTAATTACACGGTTATGTGATGGTCCAACTTTACCAGCACTTTTTTAAAGTGTAAAATTAGTCAACTGTATAGGTAGGAGGGGCAATAAAAGAGATTATTGATGCATCTTAAGCTTTTCTCTATCAGTGATGCATGTAATAAAAGGAAAATGATCTTTTTGGTAAAATTGTACAGGGAAATGATCTTTAGCTTCTACTCTTACATTTTTTAACTGATGGTATGAAAATGGTATGGGATGTTGATGTTACATGAACATTTTTTAAGGCACTAACAGTGTTTCATAGATATTAGGAGCCTTAATCGGCTGAGACAGAGGACTCCCTAAATATTGTGATTTGCAAACTCACATTAGTGTATGCATAACAATGTGGCAGATTGCAATAGAAATGTAACTTCACAAAGCAAAGGACTACTTAAATAAAACAATATTTTACTTGCCTAATCTCATTAATTAGCTTACTTCAATATCTATCACTTTCTGTGTCAATTCTTTGTTTCTATCAGATGCGAAACTCTTAAATGCATCTAGGATCGGCCGGTAACCTGTACATCGGCACAGATTTCCAGAAAATGATTCTTCTATTTCTTTCATGGTTGCACCTGGTTTGGACTGTAGCAAACTGTAAAAGATCAGAAAATCTATCTATTATAATGAAATGATTTTTTTTTTGCCAGTGGCATTTTACGAGAGTATAAATGTTAAGTGGATGTGCCGGGGATTGAACCCGTCCCTCCCGCACCGAAGTCTGAGACGCTAACCACTAGGCTAGCAACACAACCATTTAAATGACATAGAACAATTAATTAAATAAATAATAATAATGTTACCTTCTACCGTTCCGAATTGGTGTAGTTTACGACGCGTTTCATCAACACAATGACATCGTCAGGTTATCCGCTATTGATTCGTCTTGAATATTAAAATAAAACAAATTGGTATTGTCGTCGCGGTGTCACCTTGGTCGACTCAGTCGTCCACCAGAATTAATCATGTGTATATGCAAGTTGTGGCCAACGCGTACCCATGTTTAAAGCCCCTGAGATGTTGGACATAATGATAGACAAAATTTCTTGAACGTAATTTCTTGTCACAGTTCAACAAAATATGTCAATTCAGTACTTGTTTGGGTGTTACAACATCATTGTCAGCTTTAGGTACGTGTAGAGTTGAAAAACAGCCCTGATCTGACAAAAGTTGACTGACCGCACTGGTATTAAGGGACAGACTGGCTCTTGCTACCTAAGCGTCAACTTTTGTCAGAACCGGCCTTTTTTCATGTTTATATGTTTTTAGAATTTTATTTTGTTCGACAGGTGTTAATCCCCCTACTACAGGTGTGGCTCTTGAAAGCATATTGAAAAGCGTGCCACACATTTGTATTCACTTCCTGTGGGAACGTGGCTTAACTATATACTATAGTGACCTTCATGAAGGTGAGCTCTATAATCATTTAACTCCCCAGATGATGTAAATACTCATCAAATAGTACGTGGGAACGGCTAAGCTCACCTGTACATGCTCATTACCCATCCAGGGCTGCAGTAGCCACATTGGCTGCCGTAGAAGTTAGCCAACCTGATCTGCACCTCGTTATATCCTGTCTCCTTGCTGCCGATACCTTCTACTGTGGTCACTTTGAGACCGTGACATGCGTACACCGGATATATACACTGTAAAACATTGTATAAAATGATAGTGACTTATCGAGTCTTATAAACGCTAAATGTGCAATTTCTTTTCCTACATTATGGTCTGGTGTTTGTTTTCTTTGCAACTAATCTTAGTTTATGGATAAATATACAAAATAGTATAGGCACTTCTTCTGGATTTTCCTTTGTATAGTTGAACTAAAGATAAATGAAAAACATTGGTTGGATTTAAAATTTATTCTTAATGTACAACTGTGTAGCCTAAACGATTTCTGGTGATAATTCTTTGAAATGTAAGTTGTTCAAATATGGAGGGATTTTCAAACCAGTGTAACAATACCCAAACATGACTTTACGTACCGAGTTGACAGCGACAGTTTTCCGTTTGTCAGTGGCAGAATTGACCAGCTCCAGAGAGACTACACAAGCTCCACAGTTGCCCTCACGACACATGACCTTTGTGCCCTTCAGACCAGCATGGTCCCTGATGTAGGAGCTGAGAGACAGATCCCCCGGCACACCCACCACTGCACATACAACAAACATACGCTGCTAGCTTCAACATGCAAGGTTTTATATAGAATTCTATTAATCCTAAATTTTGTTTCAAATTACATTTACTGCCATACCTAACAAACTAAACTGACTAAATAGTATTGTTTGAAATAATTTCATTACCTTTTTGAAGTTTTCCATTCAATGTAAATGTTGCGCAATCATCTTCAAATCTAAAACAAACATGATCTTACAACATTATTGAGTTATTTACAAAAAGCAAATTTACTAATGTAATCTTTTTGAGTTGAATGTATCAAAATCATAAAAAATGTTTTGAGGAAAGCAAACAAATTATAAAACTGATTGCTCTGATAAAGAAAATAACAAGCTGTTTCAAGTTACAATAGGCTAACCTTTAATCATAAAAAAACAACCATAGATTAGGAGGGTAAAAGATTTGATTTTTCTAGCTGGCATAGTGTGGCAAAGTTTTGATTCTTAAGCCATGTTTACACAAGGCCAGTCAACAGGCTGATTACCTGCCTACTGCAGTTTGTTACAAGTTACCTGAGGCCAAGATGTATGGAGTAAAAGAGGTGGGCCAGACAGAGCGGACTGCGCGCGGTGACGTCACTGCAGTCCCGGCCGCGGCTGCCTCGCCGCTAGATACATGCTAAACGCACAAACCTACTTTTTCAGACACGATTTAAGCTGGTTTGGAGGAGGTATTTCCCGTTATGAAACAAATATCTTTGTGTACTAACTAATGATTTTTATGATTTTTAGCTAACATGAATTGTGAACAGTTTGACAATAGTAAATAACCAATTAGGCCTGTATGTTGCATAGAAAGTGATGAAATGCGGGCGTCTACCGATTCAGTTGGAATAATAATTACACTTTAGAATAATTTTAGATTGAGATATAAAACTCCCCTTTTTCAGGTTAATTAATAAAATATATGTTTTAGCACTAGGTAAAAAAGTTGCCTGTTTAAAAGTTACTTCAACTGCTTTGTGGTGTTAGCTATAAATTAAACGCCTTCTTTTTCATTTTTAATTTCTTCTTTTTCTATTTAATGATAAACTTATTTGGGTTTGTTGATACAAAAAAACAACAACCAATTATATAATATTTTACATGAGAATCATAAATGTTGCTTACCAATCAAAATCAACTACGATACTGCATTACTATTTTACAGGAATTAAATAGACCACAAAAATCTGTTTGGATAAATATAGCATTGACCAAAGAATACGCTCAGAGAATACTAATGATTTTCCCCGAGGAAAGCTTGTTTCACAGGTACTTTTAAAGAAAAAATATCAATACCGTATGTATATACATATATTTCATTTTAGACTTTATTATTTTCGTGTTAAAAGGATTTTCTCTTTTATGTAAGTGCACGTTGTTCGGTGTTTTTATACGAGTTTACTTTCTGAAAACTTTACTTTACTTTCTGAGATAAAAAATGCTAGGTATGCGTTTTCCTCTAGCTATAGTTACCTATTTTAAGACTAAAACTCAATCCGACATAAGAGTCATATTTTATTCGCAAAAAAATTTGTCTTTATTGAAAGGTGCAAAAGAAACGATTTTTGGATTTCAAACATTTTTATATTTATTTTGAAGATGTTTAAAGAAATTAATTTAATGATTATTGGGTTTGGGGAATTTTTAACATTCGTGAGCCCTGAATCAAACTTGTGTTTTCTGAACACAGTATTATCGCAGTGATGCGGAGGAATGCTCGACAAAACGAAAATTCAGAAAACTTTACCGGGGAAACAAAAAAGTTGTGCAAGCTGTGTTGTAATAATAAAACATCGCAATGCAGGCTAAATAAAAATTGAGTTTGGAAAAGGAATTTTAATTTTTTAAATTGAAAAATAAATATTTAAAATGGTTTGATATGAATAAAGTCAAAGTCAAAGTCATCTTTATTGTCACAAAACGTTTTTTTTATGCTCTGGCACAGCCAGGCAAAACAGGTGACATTGTCAAACTATACTAAAATAAACTAGCTTATATTGGTAAAAATAAATACATAGTAGGTAACAAAACAAACAATTCACATTGATTTATCTTCAAGAAACTGACCAATACTATAATAATTCTTTTCCAATAAAAATTCAAAAAATTTTTCTTTAAAAGATACTAATCCTATTATAGATTTGTAGTACCCAGGCAAATTGTTAAAAAATCTTTTACCCATATAAGAAGGTGTCCTTTCCACAAGATTTAATCTGTGTATAGGATATTGAAAATCTGTATGAAATCTAGTGTTATAATTGTGTCGATTATTTTCACTGTGGAGTTTTTCAAAATTTGATTTCACATACAATAAACATTTAAGAATATACAAATTAGGGACGGTTAGAATCTTTAGTTCTTTAAAAAGTTGTTTGCAAGAATGTTTTACAGGTTTAAAAGTCATAATTCTAAGTATTCTTTTTTGAAGTTTAAAAAGTTGATACGAATCAGATGTGACGCCCCAAAGCTCTATTCCATACTGTAAAATTGACGAAAATAAAGCGTGATAAATCATTAGTCTAGTGTTTAAATCAACAACATTTCTTAAGACCAACATTTGAAAACATACTGAATTTCACTTTTTAGAGGTGTTATGAATGTGATTCTTCCAATTCAATAAACTATCTACATCAATTCCTAAAAATTTAGCTGTGTTGCTAAGATTTATTTTTTCATTATCAAAATAAACAAAGCCTTCAAGATCGTCCCTACACTGTGCAGTTTGAAATTTTACTATTTGTGTTTTAATGTGGTTCATTTTTAAACCGTTTACTTTAAACCATTTTGACAGATCTTGAAGAGCTTGATTCAAGGCTAAACTTAGTTCATGACTGTCTTTTGATTTAATGATGGCTGTCGTATCGTCAGCATATAACAACAAACTAGGTTTAACATTCTTAGGTAGATCATTTATGTACATCAAAAACAATAACGGTCCTAATATAGAGCCCTGAGGCACCCCCATAACAATCTTTTCCCATTCAGAAGCATACTTAATGTTTTCTTTAATAATAACTGTTCTTTGAAAGCGATCGTTTAAATATGATTTCAACCACAAAATAACTGATTCTGAGAATCTATAGGAGGATAATTTATCAAGAAGAATTTGATGGTGTACACTATCAAAGGCTTTGGATAGATCACAGAACACGCCAATAGTGCTCTGTGACCCATCCAAGCTCTGTGTTATTGAATTTACAAAATGAGCCACAGTGGAAGTGGTACTTCGATTTTTCCTAAAACCAAACTGTTCATCAGCTAATAAGTTATTAGATTCCAGAATATAGGACATTTGATTGAATGCAATTTTTTCAAATATCTTTGAAAAAGAAGGCAGGACAGAAACAGGTCGGTAGTTATCTGAATTACTCTTAGAACCTTTTTTAAATAATGGCTTCACCTCTGCATACTTCAAATGATTAGGGAAAGTGCTATTGGTTAAAGTCTGATTGATGATTATGGACAATGGCTCAGCAACAAACTTAATTACTTTTTTTAACATAGTAGTTGAAATCCCATCCCAACCAGCCGTTTTTTTATCACTTAGTGACTTGACTATTTTGATAACTTGCTGAGGTGTAACTAAACTAAAGTTAAAAATTGGAATATCAGGCCTATGTGTGATTGATTTTTTTACTAGTTCCATTGCCTTACTCTTGGAAAAATTTACCCCTAAATCCTTCCCTACCTCAATAAATTTAGAATTAAAGTGACTTGCAATAACTGTGCCATCTGAGACTAACTTGCTATCAATAACTAAATCAGGAAAAGAATTATTGATTGGCTTGTAACCAAGTTCGGCTTTAACCACAACCCATGCTGCTTTAGTCTTATTACTAGCCTTATTTATATAACTACAATTATACATTTTCTTTGCTAGGTTACAAACAGATTTAAAAACTTTTTTGTACATTTTTACATAGCCAATAAAGTTAACATCAGTAGAACTCTTTGCTAAGTTGCTTAACATTCTTTTCTTTTGACTAGAAATTTGACTAGAATAAATGACCCTGTGAAGAAAGTAAAGACATTAAGCCATACGCCATAAAGTAAATTGTTTACCTCTAGACCGTCTTGAGCTATTTGCTCAAAGAAGAATAGTAGAGTCTAATGATATTGAAGTTTTTAAACAGGTAAAAACAAATGAGCGGCAACAAAAAATCAAAAACAATCAACTAAGAAACGTCATCGTCAGTACTGAATTTAGGAGTAAGTAAAAGATTTCAATAACTCTAATAACTCAATGTGTTTATATTATATCTGATTACATGTCCAATGGTGAGAGATACACTTGGTAAATAAAGTGTTTTTATTTCCAATGCGTTTTCTTTCCATTTATAAAAATATTAAATATAAATCTCAATTCCTAATTACACTAATCTAATAATGATTGTACATTACCAAAAGCTACTTTTATTTGGCATATCTGTATAGTGAAAAATGTTTGTTTGATTAAATTAATAATTTGAAAAATCTTTAGGGTATCTAATTTAGTTACCAATAAATATATTCATGGACAACTGTAGTTCAGTAGGCTATCCTAAAAATATATAGATCATAAAATTAGTTGCTATTTACCGGATCAGAGTAGATCCTTAGAGACATTACAACAATTGCAGAAATGGACATAAATTTAATCAACAATTGCTCTAATATTTGAGTAGTAATATAATAAGGAATAACATATTAATATATTGAAAACCAAGCAAAACCAATTTTAACAATTACGTAGTACAAACTGGCGTGAACAACGCAAAATAACATCTAAAAGTGTTGTGTACGGGCTGTGAGTAGCGGCTCGAGGACTGCAGTGACGTCACTGCCTCGGTCCGATGGGCGAGGGGGGGAGAGGGGCGCACTCTGTCTGGCCCACCTCTTTTACTCCATGCATCTTGACCTGAGGCAGGTGACCTGATGCCAACTATTTTCGTGAAAACACAGCTTTAGGGAGATGTATTAGGCTTTTTATTCAGAAAATCTAAGTGTCGTAATGCCCAAGACTACAGATTAGTCTCGTAATCTCCAAAAACTGATATTCAACAAAAGTGTCATTTTGTCCAGAACTGTACCTAAGTGTTGAAAGGTCTAAGAGTGACAATTTTCAGAAGTATAAATTAAGAAGTGTTGAAAGGTCCAATTTGCATAATGTCCATGACTATTGGAGAGTTTTAACATGTCCAAAGGACTGTCATTGCTGATGACATACATCCTTCTACCGAAACGTTTTTGCAGGTACTGAGCCAGTTCATACCTGCATTCTTCTAGCTTAAAAAAAAAATACTGCAAAAACTTTTCATACATTTATGATTTGAATGAATGACTAAATAATACAGAGCACATGACATAATAACAAACTAGTTGGTGGTCTTACTGTACATTATGACAATTGGAAATTGTAAAACTCTAACCAGGCATGTTGTGTAAAACATCAGTGGGTGGGTTTGCAGTTTTTTGCCGATAATACTTTTAGTTCAAAATAAATAAAATTATAAAAATAGTTTTTACTGACCTGATATTTGAATTCATATTTTCTACAGTTTCTATACCTATATAAACTCAGAAATGTATTGCTCCATTTAACTCTTAATACTTTTTAATGAGTTATTGTAAACCAAAAGTAGTTGTTTAACTAAAGTGCTTTAGCACAATATAAGAAACTGAACACATCTGCAAAACACTGCAACACAATCTAAAATAAACATATTGGTTATAAATATGACACTGATACCTACAACTTCAGTTCTGTACATTAGAGTTCTGTATGAGACAATGTGAAAGCTGATACTGGTCTACAGAGAATGGAAATTAGAAATGTTAGTCAAGTGTTGTTGAAGTTACACAAAATTAATTAATTTGAAGGAAAAATAAAACCTATGTAACATCCAAACATCCATGAGACTTTATAAAAAGCTTAAAATTACAGTATTCCTAATTTTTCACTTTAGTTTAATGTGGAAGCAACAAACTCAGTCACAAAGAGTGCAATCAAAGATTATTTACTTTAACAAGTTTGCTCCCACATGTACTAAATCTTTCATTCATATGGATCAGCGACGCACATATTATGCGACAGAGCTGGTTTCCACCCATAGACTGCCATCGCATATAAGCGTCGGTGTCCCAATGTTATTAAAAAGCTTATCTTGGTAATAGTCTATTTGAAGGCCCTGAATTCTCTGCAGTGGTCTACAGGGATGTCTGTCACATATGTGCGTCACTTGGTCTGTGGATATGATGATTAGTAACATCATATGATTGTTGGCAAAACTGTTTTTTACTTTGCTGCATCGCTGGCCCGTGGTCTGCGTGTACTGTTAACCAAGTGACACCCGGTCCATGTGTAATATCAAAATGTATACCTCGGGCAATGGCAATGACCGCAGCGTTGCAAATATGTGGTGATCAGTAGCGAACGTGTTAATACTGCTAGGTGTAAAGTATTTCTCCAGACAATCTGAATCTGGCATTTCTACTGCTTTGTTAAGGTAATTAGTTAAAATGAGAATTGATAATAATTAATAGATAAATTAAAATAACTAAGGATCTAAGTTACACCTCTATCGAACAGAATTACTAATCTTCCTATCTGGATTTGTAGAAGTTACAAAATTAATTACATTTTTTTGATGCAGTACATATTTCAAACTAAGCCTGTCATAATGTAAAAAAAACATAATAAATTATGAATAAAGGATAACAATTTATAAAAGAAAATTTGTGGCTATATAGGAAACTTAAGTACCTACATAATTTGATCTCACAGTTTTGTTCAAGGAAACCCTTTAGACCAGGATTTTTTAGTATGAAGGGATACCAGCTGGCTTACCTCATAAAAAGTACAGGTAAGCCATAGAGCACACGGAAAATAAAATATATGGTGCATTTCGTCCACTGGGGTCTTGGTCAAGTGTTGACAAAGAAAGAATGAAATGTTATGAATTACTAAATCACTACTCCATTATGTGCAACTCTCTTCGTTACACTTGATGAAATCCTCCATTGGATGAAATATTAAATATTTTTGTGTGTTCTATGGCCTAGGTTTACGGTTTACTTTTTCTTAAGGTGGACTATTGTCGGGACCACATAAGTTTGCAGTTGAGGGAGGAGCCTATTTACCACATGGTTTTGAATGAAAAAATGAGAACCGTGTGGTGTTGCCAAATCTAATAATACCAGCTGATTTGAAAATATTGCTTTGTATGTTTTAATTAGTGTTGTCAATGGGCGATGTGGCAACGTCGCACTTGCCTTGTCTTGTGATTGGCTGCCACCAACCGCAAACTTACGTGGTCCCGACAATAGGTGTTGAAATCACAATTTCTATTTCACAGAATTTTTAAATACTATTAGGTGGAAGGATAATCACAATAAGTTGTCTGCACTCTTAAGGAATTCAAATTACAACTAGAACACAATAATAAATTGCAACACAAGTGCTAAATTTCAGTGGTCAAAGATTAGGGTACCAGTACTAAAAACACAAATTTTATTACACAATACTAATTTTATTTTAGTATAAAATAGTGATATAAAAGTATACATTTAACACTAACAGTAGAAAACATTAAATATGATTTTTCCTACAAAAAGGATGTTTAATGTATAATTTTTATTATCTACAAAAGATCACAGGGAATTGAACGGTTTCTGCTTATTAAATGTTATTATACCAATTACAATAGGATGGGTTAAGATTTTTTTTTCAAATCGGGTAGGTATTTGTTATGTAGTTTTTCATTTTAACTTAATCTTAAGAGTTATTAAATATAGTGTTATTAGGTTTTACCAACTATACAGTACTTACGTAAACAAAACGTCCTTTACAATAATTTATGCAATAACTTGCCTAACAATCTCCTCAATTTTGATTAGCATGTGTTTTTATTTTCAAGGATTTACAAAATCTTAGTAGTCCATAAAACGTTCATAGTTATTGTTTCCTTAGGGTTCAAATACATAATAATATTTTATCAACTTAACTTTAAATGTGTTGAGGATGGAAGACGGAGCCTTTTGGCTGGTTCAAACCTCTAGTTTTTGCATTGTGTACTAGGCCATCCTTTTCGGTGGGCTATTAATATGGGTTTCCCTTCCATGCGAATTAATAATAGTATTAAATACACCCATTTCAGTCATCATAATTCGTAGCATATTTAAGATAGAAACACACAGTGCTTGATCCGTAACAACTAAAACAACCGGAACTAAGACATTTTCCCACCTCCATTTAATTCCTTCTTTTCTGTCATGTTTCAACAACTTTGTTAGGGGTGATTGCTGGTAGAGTTTGCTATAGAGAAATTCTGCTTTCAAATTAAGTTTTGGTGACATACATACGGATGTACAGTAGAGCGTCGAAAATATGAACATCAAAAATCCTAACCGCTCCTGAGGGTTTAAAATATTTAAATAGCACTGAGACAACAGATGTTTTACAATTTCGCAGGCAAAACAGTCGGCTTAAAGGTAATGTACCAAAAATACCTAAGTACAAAAACCACTGTTTTTATTTTATTTAGGCCTACTGTATCCTAGAACTGTATTTTTATTTTTTAATACTGTAGGCCTAATTATGTCTCTATTATAGGCATTTCTAGGTTATGTTTGAAAATCCGAACAAATCGGTAATCTGAACTATCTACGGTCCCAATTGGTTCGGACTTATGACGTTCCACTGTATATCTAAAGCTGAGTTAAGGATGAAAGAAGCATACAACAAAACTCCTTGTATAACCTTATTAGTGACTACAGCCGTGTTTATTACATGATAGTTTAGAACAAAATATTTTGATCTTTTTTGACCACATGGCATTAAAGTTTTTATCTCCAGTGTCTACGCAACTTTAGACTAACTGATCTAGTCAGAATTACTAAAAAAAACTATTGTTTAATGATGACTACTGGATTTTCTTATTTTAAACATTTTAACCATCATTAACTTTTCTTGAGAGCAAACAAATATTTTAGAAGTAGTATTGTTATATGGTATTTGGTCCTTCATACTTGATGAGAATCAATTCATAAACTAACAGTGAAACCTATCACAATTACCCTGACACACCTGAGGCCGTAATAACTTTCAAGGGTCCTCTTACAGCTCTCAAGACAGTCTTATATGACAATTAGTTCTTGCAATACTCACAGATAATACTGACCCAAGCATTATCAATCAATTAACTATTTATAAAAAGTGGATATGTTATACAGGGTATGAGTAACAGATCGAGTCTTTGTTTTATCTACAAAAATTAGACAGAATTGGACCAAAAATTATCTGAAATGTCTGAATATTTTGGAATAAATGCCAGGGTATGAGAATAACAACAAAATATTTAACTATTGATGAGCATTGTCTATCATGGAGATATTTTTACAAAAACGTGAGGACAAGTTTGATGGGTGGTTACAAACTTAAAAACTTAATTAAGTTACGAGGCATGGCGATTTTTAAAAGATAATAAAGATTTTAACGGTTCCAAATTTGATTTCACCCATAATTAGAAAAAATATGATACAAATATATTTATACCCTACAAGGCATGAAAACTGGATCATCACTCGTCACTTGGCTATTTTTAGGTTATGAAGATACAGTATTTAGATGTTTAATAATGTAAAACAACCTGTTAGAAATTTCATTGAACAAGAGATTTTCTTAAATTCATTAAGATTTGTTACAGTGTTTTGATAAAATAGACTGGACTACAAATAACCCTTGTTGGTCAATGCATTTTCCCAAAACCTCAAGTGATATAGTCAAAGACATTTTTTTCACTCAGCACTCAGCTTAATAATTAGTCGGTCCAATTGATTTGAGACTACAAAATGTTTTGTAATTTTAAGAACCTTCATTACCATTTAATAAAAGTATTATGAAATGTATTTGCAACAGTTACAAGGCAAAACTTTATTTAGCTCCGTGATATTCAAAGATTTAAATACATTGTTTGGATTCAACTTTTTCTTGTTGACAAAAAAAGGCAATATTGACCATTAGTTTCATTGAAGAGTAGCTAGTAGGAACAGGAACTATTTATTAAATGAGCTTAAAAAATATATATATATAGATTGTAAATTCATCCCTAGCTGTTACTTTTCAAAAACTTTAGGATGGAAATCTTTACAGTCCGATTCAACTTAGAGTAACACTATGAAATGGAATCATAATTGTAAAATAAAATTTGCAATACGAAATTAGTATTCAACACTGCAAAAAAGTGTTTCATACAATTGATTACATACCAATTTCTTTTAATCTACTTGGGCTTTAAGTACACAATAAGAAAATATTATTTATCGTCCTTAGTAAATAAAGCATCAGTCTTGATGTTGCATTAAAAAATATATGATTTCTAGTTCTAGCATATTGTACCGGTATATAACCAATGGCCAGGACAAGTCTATGTACTATTGTCAAAGATTCTCTCAGCTTATATGTAGCCTTAGAAAATAGTATATCTTTAAAATGTATATAGTGGTTTACAAATAAAAACTTTACTTTTATTAGAAAAGTAAAAAAAAACCTTATGTAAATTTTATTGAGTAATAATTACTTAAAAACTAACAATAGTACTGCAATAAGTGTTACGGTAAAATAGTTCTATATACACTATATACATGTTCTAGATGATTGTTAATGTTGATGAACTGAAACATTCTTCTCTAACCTCTCCAAATACTACAAGTACACTTAGGCTACTGATCAGACACCAGTCAGTCTTACGTTTGCAATATTTCACCTTTTATATAAAAATACTCCCTTCATAGTTTATGATACGAATCCAAACTCAAATTTGTAATGCCCGTCTACAAAATGTATAAGTAGCTCAAATACGAGGACTTGAAACAAAAGAATGCCACAAAATTGTGAAAGAGAGAGATCAGATCAGACATACTATAAACAGTTAAACACATGAACTGTCTGATGCCAATATCAAAATGAACTCCAAGACCGTTGAAGTACAGAAATGTAACTGATCTTAACTCTTTATACAGCAATTGATATGTTCAACTAGAACATAAAACACTTCTCATTGAATAGTTCTGCAGCAATCCATAATGTTACGGTAGTTTGAATGAATTAGAGTTAAAAGATTAATCTATTACAATGAATGCTTTGAACACACAATACTTACGAGGCTAATAATTATTAATTAGTAAGTAACACATGATGGTCTGTAACCCTTGGTAATGCTCACCATTTCCCTGGGTTTTGTTGTTTACCAGTAAAATTAAGTAATTTAACTATTGGGATGTATTGTATTTCTAGTATAAACATGTCCATTTTTAAATTTTGACAGACACAAGCAGTCTGTTTTAAAGTAAATCAAAGGCATTTAGCCATTATGCTGTGTTTACACCGTAGTTGGCCACAGATATTTTAAACAAACGATTACAACAATCCAAAAAATGGAAGTTTTTATGTTGAAAACATTTTGATGTTTCCAACAGTTTTTCAGTATTTTCAACAAAAAAATTGTTTTCTTAAAGAAGTTGTGAACATTTATCTACATCAATATTCCAAACTTACACTGGAGATTAAGAATTTACGGTCAATACACTTGTTACCTTAGACTATTTGGTATTTTTAAGACTTTTCTTTGGAAGTATACAACCAACAGAAAAATAAACGGGAGTCCTTATTTCTCTTACGAACAACAGACCATCATATGATACAACATTTGAGCTTAATCATAATTGATTTTTAAAAGCATCATGATATTAGGTATTAAGTGTCACTTTCGGAATGTAAAGGAATGTATAATTAAGTGAAATACACTTTAATGAGATAAACTCCAGAAAGCATACAAATTCTTTAACTTGTTTTGAGTTTCCTTCGTGAATGAAGATTGAAATCAGAATGTAACCTTAAAAGGAAATACCGAGACCAAACTGAAATTTTACACAATCAAATTTATTGACATCTCCATTTTTTTAGACAGTATTTTTTACTCAGGATTAATGTCTGTAAGAAAAAAATAAAATCCACTTAACTGTGTATTCACATAAGTAGGTACATAAAATGGAGATCAAAATAATACTTCTGTAAAAAAAATCTAAGAATACAAAGTGAGCTAGTTTATTTAAAATTTGATTTCATAATTAGTAAAGGCATCTGATATTCACCAACTATTATCTAGAGGTTCAGTATAAAATTATCATAAACTTGAAATGCCTCTTATCGGATTATTTAAATAGAAATTCAAATAGAGATCAATATTGATTCATCTGTATCTAGTACTGTCACAAATAGGCTTTTGCTGTAAAGCTAGATCAACAATCTACTGAGAGTTAACGCCTAATCTATTACCTTTTTACAAATCTATTACTATTATTGCAAAAATACGTACAAAGCTAAGCCCACTTAAGGGAAATACAAAAATATCAAAGACTATAAAAGTAAAAAAGCCCTCTATAAAATGGGGAAGAAAATTTGAGTAGGAAGACAGGAAGGTCGGTGAAGGTGTTGATAGGCCGACAAGAGTCTCCTGACTGGAGACGACTCATGTTTCATTGAAATACCACAAATGCATAGAAAATACATCACTCACACACGAAAAGTGTTCAGTCTATTATGTCTCAGAAAATTAATATTTTAAATAAATTAAATTAATAGAACAAACCTTATTAAAGTTAATACTTATAATAATAATAATAAAAACAAAACTAGCCAAACTTGACATAAAATCATATTTTAATTTCTGAAAAAAAAAACACTTACCAGACCATAGTTAACTACGAGATTGAATTTGAACAAGAAAAATGTGACTCGTGGCTTTGTTTACAATAATATGTCAAATACTTCACACCCATCTCCTCAGTATGAGCCAATAACTGCATAATGAGAGTGTCAGAAATACGAGGGGATCTGTGTGCTAATTGTTCATCTGAACAGGATTTAAAACTTCCGAGGCAAACAAAATTATTTAACAGGACTAACCGCCTAGCTTTCAAAGCTTATATTATGAAAATTTGGCCTATTAGGTAAATATAACTACTAGTTTACAATAAATAAAATGATATGGTTTTAGAACTGCGCCAAAGAGTAATTTACCTAACTTAATAATGTAACAATAATTATAAAAAAGTTGACTACTCAATTAGCATCGCTAGATCTTTTAAAGCAAATTTAGAAATAATTAAAACGATAGGGGGAATAAGTTACGCTTTGTTCCTCCGCTAGATGATAAGCTTTGAAATGACACCATAAACGTAAAAATCATCTACAAAGAATACAGAAACCTACCTACTGTGTTGTGTGAGGAAGATAATATTTGTACATTACATCTTGAAAAAATAAAAGGAAGACTACCTAATGAGCCTAGTTTAATGTTACATTTGTTATGACATGTATCCAACCAGATTGACCAGTATCAATATAATAATGTCAAATGCTTTTGCAATTATGTTTGTGGATTATGTGGATATCACAAGTTAATAGTTTTACTGTAATGTTAATAGACCTACAATGTACAAGTTATATCAATTGAAACAATCTTGGATACACATTTCAAGAGTCACATTATTCTTTTTTAACTAAAATAAAATTTCATAAAACCTTTAAAAAAGAATTATTACACATAGCTAACTCTTATTCTAGAATCCTACAAAAGCCCCATTCCCATTTAAAAAAGTGGCACAAACATGTTGTAAGATACAGATAATTCCCTGAGCACCTTCCTCAGAAAAATTCCATGAGGGGTTCGTACAAATTGAAACGGGGCTTAAAACTTTAAGTATTCAATCATTAAATGAAAGTTCAATTTTGTAAGTAAAGTTTATTCCATAGAAAAGTTAGATTGAGCATTTTATGTTATTAGACTTTTAAAAAATATAGATGTTTGTTTTTAAAAATAGTATACTATGTGAAACAAGATAATCGTCTTGTTGATGAAGACATCAAAAACTAGATTTAAACATTGCAAAAAAAATAATGAGAACAACTAACGACGGTACATTTTTCTTTTCTGATTTCAACTGAATTAATTTGGAACTTAATTTTAATACATCACCTTTCAATAGAAACTACACGCTTTAGTGAAACTGTATTGTAAAGGTGGGTATACATAACGACTAGGCTATTGGTTTTTGGTTTCACTTAAGATTATTTAGTACTAATCAGACAATAGCCAAGATCACTTGTGGGAGTCGCTGCCAGATGCTTATGCCGAGTTGTAGAGTATGTTGTCGGTGGACAGCACCATGACTGTGGTTGGTCCACTACCTACAGTCTGTAGGAAGGCCAACTGAGGCTCATTCTCCAAATTCACCTCTGACTCCAGGAGATTGGTGTTCCAGGTGTCGCTCAAGTTCAACTTCTGAGACAAATCCCCGATTTCTTCGTCCTCCTCAGGCCTCTTCTGTTTGTTTCGGCGTATTAAATTGACAACTTTAGTACGAGGTCTTCGGTTATTCTCTTTGTCGCTTGAAACTCTGGCTTGCAAGGATCGAGGTGCAGTTCGCACTCTGCGGAATTCTTCTTCAGAAAGAATTATAATGCCACCTGACTGAGTGAGCACTTTGCCATGACGTGTCTTCAGGTGTCTTTTGTAAGTATTCCTTGTCTTGAATCTAGAAATAAAAGATAGATGGAGAAAACTGGAATGAAAATTATAATTAAATGAAAGATTTGATTTAAAAAAAACTGCCAAAATTTCTTTATGAGCAAAAAAATCTAGCGTCATTTGTATAAACACTTTTCATTCTAACACTTAATTTAAGTAGCCTATAAATATAATTTTTGAATCATAAGATTATTAATTAATTTTTATGCTAAATGAATAGATATTTTAAAATAATTACTGTCATGATAATAAACTAGGTGGCGTTCGCAGAGGCATCCACAAAATTGCGCGGAGTCGTCAAGGGTTCATATTATATTGTTTTTGTCACACTGCAGTAAAAACAGTCGTTTTTAATGCATGCGTTGCGGGTCTAAAGTAGCATTTTTACTCTTTAGGGAGTAAAAATCGTATTTAGCATCTATGGAGTAAAAATCAGCATTTGTCAACTCAGTTGTAAATTTATATTGTAAACAATTGCATGTATTGAAATATGTATCGATTCGTGCTTCGTAATCATTTTAAGCTACAGTCTACAGTTTCTTCCCATAGCATTTTAGCATTACAGATAGGTACATTAATCCATTCCCACACTCAAAACTGCTCACCTTTACTACTTCCTTCACCACCCCCTACGTCGTGGACCTACTTTCCTCTCTTCCCATAGCATTTTAGGATTGCAGATACATTAATGTAATTGCCAAAGACAGTTCCCACACTCTGCACTGCAAGCCTTACTACTTCCTTCACCATTTCCTACGTCGTGGGGCCTGTTTCCTTCCCTTCTCATAGCATTTTAGGATAAAGATACATCTAACAGCCACAGACGGTTCTCACACTATGATCATACTTTACTACTTCCTAAGCCACTTCCTACATCGTGGACCTGTTTCCATCACTTTCCATAGCATTTTAGTATTTTAGATATGTTAATCTAATTGCCACAAACATTCCCCACACTCCGCACTGCTAGCCTTTAGTAGGTTACTTCTTTCACCATTTTCTATGTCGTGGGGATGCTCCCATTCCTTCTTATGGCATTTTAGCATTGCAGATACATTAATCTAACTGCTACAAACAGTTCCCAGTTCCCACACTCCACACTGCTCACCTTACTACTTCCTTCACCTCTTCTTACGTCGCGGACCTGTTTCGCTCTCTTCCCATAGAATTTTAAGATTGTAAATACCTTAATCTAATCGTCATAAACAGTGCCCACACTCCGGACAGCTCGCCTTGACTACTTCCTTCACCACTTCCTACGTCTCAGACCTGTTTCCCTCCCTTCCCATAGCATTTTATTATTAAAGATCCCTTAATCTAATCGTCATAAGCAGTTCCCACACTCCAGACTGCTCGCATTTACTGCTTCCTTTACTACTTCCTACGTCACGGACCTGTTTCCCTCCCTTCCCATAGCATTTAAGGGTTGTAGATACCTTAATCTAATCATCATAAAACGTTCCCACACTGTGGACTGCTCACCTTGACTACTTCCTTCACCATTTCCTACGTCAAGGACCTGTTTACCTCCCTTCCCTTAGCATTATTGGATTGCAAACACCTTAATCTAATCGTCATAAACAGTTTCCACACTCCGGACAGCTCGCCTTGACTACTTCCTTCACCACTTCCTACGTCGCGGACCTGTTTTCCTCCCTTCCCAAAGCATTTTAGGATTGCAGATACCTTAATCTAATCGTCACAAACAGTTCCCACAATCAGGACTGCTTGCCTTTACTACTTCCTTCACCATTTCAAATACGTCACGGACCTGTTTCCCTTCCTTCCCATAGCATCATAGGATTGCAAATACCTTAATCTAATGGTCATACACAGATCCCATACCCCGAACAGCTCATCGTTCGGTATGATGAGTTTACTCACGTTTACTACTTCCTTCACCACTTCCTACGTCACGGACCTCAAGCTAGTGTCGTCATTTGATTATATTTATGATCCATACCGTTTCTGTTCTAATATCTGTGGAATAATGCTATTAGCTATTTCTTTATCTACTGTATTCAAAAGTCAACAGCTGATCATATGTCTTTGTTTATGTGTCAAATACTGCGTCCATAAGGATTACATTGAAACTTTGAGACCCAGTGGGGCGGATTCCTGAGAGACCTTTTTAACGCCATATAGATGTTGGCACTCACCGATATGGTCTTTATAAACATGCAAAATTTGAAAACGATTGATTCAGCCGTCTAGGAGTTTGCGTATTACGAAATGCATAAGAGTCGACGTATAAGAGCTTCGCTCGCTCCCCTCAATAATCAAGAAATGAAGACTCAGCCCTTAAAACCTAATTATTGACTACTTGATTAATAATTTGTTTTAAAATCATAATAAAGAAAAAAAATTTTTACAAAATTAGGGTCACTAAAACTTATAGTGGTAACAACTTCTTAGTTATTTAAAGAGTATATAAACTTCAATATAAATCTCTGTTTTTTTTTATACCTGATAACACAGTCAGAGCACTCAAAGGGTGCCTCGCCAGTGTGTCTCCGCTGGTGCTCTTTGAAGTGTGAGGGATGTCGGAACTTGCGACCACAGTCTGAACAGGTAAACCTAGTCTTGTTGGAGTGGATCAGCAGATGGTAATTGAGACTGTGCTGTCTAGTGAACACTCCTCCACACAAGTGACACTCGTACGGTTTGATGCCTACAACACATTACTGGTTACTACTAAGCTTGCTACACAGTCAGAGAAGGTGAACCTAGTCTTGTTGGAGTGGATCAGCAGATGGTAATTGAGACTGTGCTGTCTATTGAACACTCCTCCACACAAGTGACACTCTTACGGTTTGGTCCCTACAACACATTACTGGTTACTACTAAACTTGGTACCTGTACAGTGTACAGAGTCAGAGAAAAAAAACAAAAAACAAACAAGAGTCTTGTTGAGAGCTTTATGTTCTCAAACTAACATCTTTTGACAATATTTAAATGTACCTATGTGTGTTGACTCACCAGCATGACTGCGGTAGTGGCTGATGAGAGTGGTGGGGGCAGTGAACACTCGGGAAGGCACACAGATCTGACACTCTAGAGGCTCGCTACTGCCCTGCCGCAGCTTCATACTCTCGATCATGCGTACGGCCATCTCCTTCTCCGCCGCAGACTGGCCAATGAACTTGGCTTTTCCCTTCGGCTTCTTATGTTGTCGGTGTTCGTCTCTTTCCACACAGTTCTCCTCAAAGTTTCCATCCTCCAGAAGCCGGTTATCTTGCAATACTGGAGGTTCTAGAAAATTTTTTTCTAACTTAGTACTATTACACAAAACTTACATATTATTATTGTATGATTTCTTGGTAAAGTTTTGTTTGTACTTTTACAGGGTAGAATGAGAACTCCTAGAAAAATTCAAGCATTTTCCCCAGGTTTCCTGGCAGCAAAACCTAGCTTTCCCGCAAGTGTACCTTTGTACTACAATTCAACACCTCCCCTTACCTGTCTTTATGGTGATAAATTCATCAACATATTGTTCCGGTTGGATTTCTTCAAAGACAAAGTCACTATCCACAATTTCAGTTTTCACAACAACTTCATTACTCACAGAGAGCATCTGAAAAAAAAAAATACTTGTCAAAACATAAGAGGAAACTTGTCTCTGTGATGACAGATCTTATTTTACACTATTTGTATTCCATTTAGTTTATTTTGTAGTTTGAGCCTAAGTGAGGTAAGTCGACTTTTCACATATACATTTTACTGTCAATGACCTAACACTTCTAGAACCAGGGGAATGTCGGTTTATCAAAAATTTTGAACTGTCGAAAATAATAAATTTAACCCATGTGCTAGGGATAGTAAACTTATAGAACTTGACTATGAACTTTTGAGGGTTTAAATTAATCAGTTTATGCACTATTTCACAAAAGAATAATTTTTAGTAAAGACAGAAAAAGACATAATTTTATTTTGATTTTGATTGTTATTAACAGCTGTATCTTGTGAGCCTGAATATCGCACGGTTATCCCATAAGCGTGTTTCCTCAGTACCTTACTTGAAATGAAATAAAATACATAACAACAACTTACAGGATTGTCCTCATTGTCGTCGACGGCCACTACATAGTTAGTGATGCCGTTAGACTCGTACTCTTCCTCAGCTTTGACCCAGATGGTCTCCACAGCAGTGTACTCCTCCTGATTGGTGGTCATGTCCACACTTTGTACCGGAGCTTTGAAGTAGTCGTGATCTGCAGCGTTGTTAATGTCGTGGGTCTGAAGCTCCTCGTAGCACTTCGCCAAAGCCATTGATATCGGGTTGCATGGCTGTCCTACATGTACGTCTATTGGAGGTTCGGATTCTATCACTATTTCAGGGCATGTCTCAATAGGAATTTCAGTAGTTTCAATTATTTGTCTTGGCTCTGGTTTTATTGCTTTCACCTTTTTATTTTTAACATAGTAAGTTTGTTTCTTGACTGGAATCTCTTCATGCTGTTTAGGTACTTGTAAAACCTCACCTAGAACAAAACTAATTGTTGGCACAGGCAAACAAGTTTATCAGACATCCGTCAAGGTACAAAATGATGTATCTTGTAATTTTAGGAAATTAATTGTAATCCATGGATTAAACGTTGGCCTCAAAAGCAGAAAATTATATACTAAAAAAGAATAGTTTACACTAATGTGATTATATTGAATTATGTTGCGCAGTAGTATTATGGTGTGTTTTCGCCACTATTTTGAACTATTTAAAATAGTTTTTAGCTTGCAATATGCCTATTATGATTATGTAATCTTTTCTTTTGTTAAAATAAATATTTTTATTTCATGTTTCATATATAGACCAGACTATAACTCCTACACTTAATTTTGTATTTATGTTGCCTATATTACTATAACCTACAAGAAATCTGTCCAGAATAATAAAAAGGCACATTCTACACTAATTACTATCACCAAAGATTACATATGCTAACGCAAAATAGATAATGCACCTTACGGCAAAATTGTGCCAAGTCGTTTTTGGATGGGGCCACCTTCTCGTAGTTGGGTGGTCCCTCAACAGAGGCGCTGTGTCAAGTCTCGATCTGCATTACCATTCAAGCTCGGGTGAGTTCGGTAATGTTCGAGTGCTCGGGATTAACTTTTCTGTACTATTGACTAATGATTATACTGAGGCCTTATGTTTTATCTATGCCTGTATGCAACGCGCTCGCCGACCCGTCGTCATCGTATCTCTACTGCGCTCCTCAACATCGTATCTCTACTGCGCACAGCTATCATTAATGTACCATAACTTTATCTTTTTACAAAAATGGCAGTTATTTAATTTAAAATGAAAGTGACCACGTAACAAAGAGCTAAAGGATACTAAAGGTTTACTGATAAAAAACATGAATTAATAAAAATCTTCAAAAATTGGAGTCACAGTGATAGGTTAATAAGCTTACAATGTTATACTAGTTTTTCTGCATTGAATTTTAACTTACATTTAGAGAACCCTTAACAATTTAGAAATGTATAAATCCTACAAGTTTTAATAATCAGGGACTATTTGTGAGTTCGTCGACTTTTCTGTTTTTGGAATTTTTATCCACAAAGTTTGCTTCCGGATTTCTAGACTCGCGCAATATCTTGCTACTAACTCACGATGAGAAATGTATGGTTAGTCAACTACTACCTAACCATTCAATGGCTACTTGACCTTTTTAAACATAGCAATATACACATAATTTGTAGGAAGAACATTTATCTACACAGATCGGCATTTGTTTTCAAACTACGTATTATCTCGTCACATTGTTGGTGTTTCATAAGTGCAGTTTGCAACTGAGCTTTGAAGAAAATGGAGAGCATAAGATACAAAACATAGATTTTTGATTTGGATTGTTTTATGCAACAAATCTTTCAACTGACGACTATATAAAATAAATTTAAGAACACATAGTTTTAGAAACAGCGGAACCTTAGTTGTACATAAATTAAAGAGGTTATCTTCACCACGTATAAACGATATTTAGATTGGAAATTGGAGGTCAGTCACACTCTCGCCTTCCCAGTAAGTTCCTGAATCAACATTAAGGCATTGTACTGGCGTAGCCAGGTTTGGATTGGAGCGCCCTGGAGCAGAAATTGCCTAACCACCCCTCTCCAAAATTGAACCCCATAAATATATAGCCTAGGATAGTTTATTTCCCTCTTAGTGGTCTTCGTTGATAAACACTTAAACCACAACGTACCTACGTCTATTTTCAATTGACAATAAATTACAAATTATTGCATAATAGTATGATGAAGGTAGTTAATAATATATTTCGGAACTCTATCGTAACTGTTTTAGGCAGACTCTAAAGATAATGAGACATTGACAGTAGAAATACTGGTGAATTTAACGCTATGTGACGAAGGGGCTGCCGCGAGACGGTGGTGATCGTATGTAGAGGCAGTAATGGGTACAGACTGCTGAGTGACAACTGGTGTACATCCATAGTTTGTTAGTACATAACTAGTCATGTTGGTACAGTTTCCTTTTTACTTCTCATATTATTTATAAAGCAGTCAGGTTCAAAATGCAGTTCACACACTAAACGTGAATGTAAAGCAGTGTCGGGAAGGCCTTGCCGTTTTTTGATTGCCGTGTTTGCCATTTATCACATAGGCAGATACACTAGTCTTAATACCTGGTATTGTGCATGAAAATATCCACATCATAATACAATTGTAATTCACTACACATAATACTAACACTTCTTCACTCTTGCTAATCCCTTCTAACAACCCTCCTGTTACTTACATAAGCAAAAGCAAACAACCATAAATAAAGGTTAACCATAATAATAAACAACAACAAAAAATACGTAAATAACAGCTGGTCGTGTCGGCAATGAAGTCTTAGGCCCCGGCCACACGAGGCGGTTTAACCGCGCGAAGTTAAGCCGCGCGAAGTTAAGGGGTTCGACAACACATTGAATCAAATGAGAGTGGCCACACGAGGCGAAGTTTAGCCGCATGTACGGTTGAGCCGCGACATGTCGTCCCCCGACCGCGCGAAGTTAAGCCGCGTTGGAGGGGATGACACATGCAGTCTTATGAGAGTGGCCACACGATACGGTTCGACCGCGCGGCAGCCGCGCTTATTGGAGATATTCTTCGGACATTTTCAGTGGGTTTTGAGTTTGTTTTGGTTGTTTTTTACCGGTTGTGTGGTGTTTAAACAATGTTTGATACATACAAACTCCGAACTATGGTTTCGCATGTGCTCGTAAAAGGTTTGGAACACAAAAAATGGGTTTTCCGTTATGAAGGGATGGACCAAATGATTTATGTAACATTTGGTTCCAGATCACCACGAGCTACTAATGCACAAACTAACATAAATGTTTTGTCCATGACTAAAAGAGTGGACTGAACTATTTAATAGAGTACTGATACTGGGAAAACCCAACAGGAAGCGGTTCATCCGCCCCGTGTGGCCAGGCACTTCGCGCGGCTTAACTTCGCGCGAAGATAAGCCGCGCGGCTTAAATTCGCCTCGTGTGGCCGGGGCCTTAGGTTATGAAGACATTCGCTAGGCTTCGCATGGAAATTGATGTCACAAAAATGGCTTGGCTGCAATATCTATTTTGCGTTAGCATATGTAATCTTTGCTATCACTAATTATTGTGGTTCATCAAGCTACTACAAGCCTTACCTTCAGGAAGATCGTCTAAATGGGAAAGCAAATGGTCCTTAATTAGGTTTCTAGCTTTGGTTTCACTACCAAAACTTTCAAATCGAACACAGCATTTCCTAGGTATCAGAAGGCACTGGAATGAAAATGTACGCCTCAGCTCGTCTCCCTCAAACCTTGAGAACGTACGCACAAGTTGGTTTCCTGACAGCATTTTAGCTTGATTAAGAGGCATTCCACAAGCTTCTTTTGATCTCTGAAACATACAAAATGGATAAACTTTTATAGCTTTTACACAGTTATGATAAGTTATTTAATATAGCTATAAATATTTTAACCCATATAATGGTGTGAGATTATCTGTGTAGGTTTGTTACTAAGATCAGCTGTTTCATTAACCAGGATCATTTATTTAAAGCCCAATGATCAGGAACATCTAGGTCCAGTTTTGAACTATAAAAGCTAATGACTTTTCTCAGGATTGAAACAGTGACCTTTTGATTGCTAGGCAAGCACTAATCGGCTACCCAGCCATTTTGATATATTACTATTGGTAATCAGACAGTAAAAATATACATCTTTAACAAACTACTGTTTTCTACTTTGATCCAACTGTTTTCCAACTAATTTTCTTTTATGAGAAAAATCCAGTTCCACTAACAGATTGTAGAGAAGAATTAGTTCTACCTGGCATTTTTCTTTTTTGATTAGACAAAACAATTGTTTTTTAAACTGTTTTGTCCTTAATTTCTTTTTCAGTTATGTTACATCCGTTCTAATGGTGAGTGATGATTCCTAACCACGGGGCATGGGCCTATTTAAATTTAAAAAGCCAATTAAAATTGATTTATTGTTGGCTATAAGAAGCATTTTAATCTATTTTGGATCAGAGAAAAGTTAAGTTAGGCCGTGCATGAAATAAAAGGATCTAAATAAAAACTACGCTTGTTCCAATTATATACAACTTACAGGCATGTCCAGACGTGACAAACATATCAACAACAATTCAAACCTCAAACAAAAGTGGAGCAACATGTAACAAACCCAACTTTTACAGTTGTGTAATTGATGTCCTAGTGGATGATCAAAATATGAAGTAGTTATAAAAAAAACACATATTACTAGAAATTAGTAGAAGTCAAAGGAGTCCCAGAAGCTACTCAAGTCTACTGTCGGGGAAAAAAGTTTAAACACTCGAGTTTGGAGCTCTACAGAAAAGTGACCAAACTAACTTAGAAAAACACGTAGTATATATAAATTTTCGTTGTTTTATTCTACGTATTCCTGTGAAAACAAAAAATTTTTAGCTCGTTTAGGAAATTTTTTATGACAGTCGGAAGGTAAAAACTACCTATTTTTAAAGTATCAAAAACCATCTTATGACAAATTAAATGTTAACTTATATAAATAATATGCGTAATAATTTGGTTGAGCAATATCAATATTTCAAATACAAAAACAATCACCTTCGAAACAAGCTTTTAATTTTTTTTCTAGCGTTTGCCGTTTTTGAGAAAAAGTTGATTTACAAAAGTTACAACAAAAACTTTTTGGGTAGAGTAAAAATTCTGAAACTACACAAATTAATTCATTATATATGTGTCTATATTGTATTAAAGTTTGATAAAGTTCTGCCGTTTAGTTTACATTGTGCGAATTTTCAAAGTCATAAGATGGTTTTTGGTACTCTAAAAACAGGCAGTTTTTACCTTCCGACTGTCATAAAAAAATTTCCTAAACGAGCTTAATTTTTTTTTTTCACAGGAATACGTAGAATAAAACAACGAAAATTTATATATACAACGCGTTTTTCTAAGTTAGTTGGTTACTTTTCTGTACAGCTGCAAACTCGAGTGTCTAAACTTTTTTCCCCGACAGTAGTTGCTGGGTTTTCTAATGTCTAATGTGATATCATAAGCACTTAGTGATCCAAATTCAAATAAACAGATATCATAGGGAGTTTGTCGTAGACGTACCTTTCGCCTGACAACAGGGGTAGCAGTCTCCGTCTGTCGCAAAGTCTGAGAGGCGACCTCCGCCAACATGTTGAGCATAGCCCCTGTCTGGCCATTGCTGTCGTCCTTCTCACCTAGATTACATATTAAAGACATTGATTACTGTAATTCATAATAGTGTTTGAAATATTTGCATCAAGCCTAGACTAACTTTCAACATTTCAGTTTAGCCTATTAAAATTAATTGGTTTTTAGTAGTATTTGATCACATAAAATTTGAAGAGATAAGTTGTGGTTTCAACAACGCGAGATTTTTAATAACTAATCAATACCGGTATTTGTATTTTCTAAATTTAAATTTAAAATTTGAGACTAATTAAGTCAATGAGTAGGCCTAACTGATGTGGACAGACATTTTTTACATGGTCTAAGCAGTGCTTAATTTTAGAATTTGATGTATCGGAGCTGAAAATAAGTTATGAAACCTCCTTTCTAACCTTTATTTTAACTCAGGCTCCAACCGATTCATAAACCTGTTTGTACTTACTTGCCAAAAGAAGAAAAAAATTATTTATTTAGCAATTTATTTTTGAAATATTTCTTTAAATTAGGTACCTATTTAAAATCCTTTTTATATCCACCCATACCATCATCTCTCTGGTTATTTTTTTTTATGTTTAAGTCTCTCTACCACACACTGTCATGGAAAGTGATTTTACACTCATTAGCTGCAGCTAAAATTAGTTCTTGCTGAGACACTTTGACACTTATTTTAGAATTTTTGAAAAACATTAAATAAAATACCCCCGGCACAGCAAACATGCAGGCTAAGAGAATTTCCATTTGTCCGATGTATTAAAAAATGTCATAATTATTACCTATTTAAATAGCATTAACTACTTTAACAAGTATAGCTTTGTTGCTTCAGGGAATGTAATAATGTGTTTTTAGTGAAATGTTATTAGTTTAGTATAAAATATCAACTACATTTCAATGTCATTTTAATAATTTAAATACAATTTTATCTTGTCACTACATAATAAATCAAAAGTCAATACCGGTACTCAATAGGCTACTGTTTTAATAAAGGTTTTAACAGAGTACACAATACTGCCTGACAGAACAGTTAACATTTACATCTTACATGTTAAAGGTGACTCTTTCCATACGATTTTTTTCCGAAAACACTCTAATAACGTCTTTAACCTGAAGACCTTGGTTTCGTTGTTTTTTCACCATTATTTTTAGTTAATCGAAAGTGTGGTACGTACAATGCCCAATGCTCAATGCAGGGCTATGGCAGATAAGACTAACTTTTTCAAAAAAGTGTCTGTCCTTGAATTTTTGTGATGGTCATGGCAAAAGAAATTTGGCATTGAAACTGCAATGTTTGAATTTTAGGAGAAATTTTCCCTCTAAACTTAATTGGAATAATAATACTCTCGTTTTCCAGTCGAACTTCCAGTAATCATTTTCATATTTAAGACTCATTAATCTCTTTCACCATTATTCTGGTTCCATTAACCTGTCCTTTTTGTGGATTTAAATTTATTAGTAAAATTACAATTCCACCTTTTTATAAACATAACTTGTGAGACATAACCACTTGGTGCTAAAGTTTGGAGAAATTCATCAAGGACATGTAACCGGTCTTCCTCTTCTTGAATCAAAGTGTCCACTGAGTATTAAACTCTACTGTCATTATTTAGTTGCTTAGCTATTTTATTATTAATTTCGTCACCATCATGTTCATTCTTTGGTTAAATTATTGCCTGAATTTTGTCTTTTTTTAAGCATTTTCAAAGAATCCTTCACTGAAGATTTCGTCAATGATATTTTTATTCGCAATACATTGTGGTGGAAGACTTATCAATGTCTCACAAAGACCGTTAAGGTAGCTCTCTTGGCCATTCCTTATTCGTAAAAGATATTCAGCAAATATTGATTCCCTTGGATTTGCTCGATCATGTTTTTAGCTAGTGAAAATAAACATTGACCATAAAGGTGATATAATTATTGAATTTTCTACCATTTCACAGCGACTCGCACCAGAGAATATAGTAACTCATTGTCGGAAATTACCTCCAAAACCTTTCCACCAAAAGACTTTGCTTGGCCTTCTCTTTTGGCGATATCTCGCAGTAATCATTATACAGACGATAAAGCATACTTATTGGACATAGAAGCTTCATCCCATAATATTATTTTACAAATATTTTGCTTCCTTACTATTGGATTTTATTCCGGAGACTGAGACTGACTCATTTAATTTTATTGGCAATTTAAATCTGTTTTGTACTGTACGCTAAAATCTCCTAAGTCAAAATAGTCTGCTTTGTGACAGCATCTGTCCTTGCAATATTAAAAAAAAAAATCAAGCGGTCACATAACATTTCTTTGAACTTCAAAAACCAGCATAGGTAACCTTTTACAATTTATTATCATACCATCTCTGTTGTTAATGCGTCGCTGAATCGCAAACACGGGATTGTTTCTTCTAGGTAGAATTTTATGATAATCAAAATCAGAAATTGGAAAACACAACACATAAAAATATCTATGAAAACTTTAAACACACTATTATATGAAAATAAAATACAATCACATAATGGAATAGACTGGTTTTTACTCCCTATGATTGAAACTGCATAAATAAACTATCCCATCTCATAAGTTAGGCCTATCATTGTATTTGAAAGTAAACTAATAGGTAAACAGAAAAGGTTGATATTAAAATGACAGAAGGGAAACAGGCTATTTTTATGAAGACGGATGTTTTCTTTTAAGAAATGAACCATATGTTACAAAGTACATTGAACTGAGCGTGACAAAAGTTATTCCATGACTTCTACAGAGAATTCCCTTTAATTTGACACCTTAATCATCAAAATCGGTTCATAAATAAAAGAGTTTTGCTGTGCTGCTGTGCACAAGAAATTCCTTAAGGAATTAGAATAATAGACTAGATGGATTTGTCAAATGTTATAAAGCTATGTTCATATAAAAGCAAACACAAAATGGTTTAGAAAGAAATCCCAAAATTTTTTGTTTTTGGTCAAAAATGGTACTCCAAAACAAGAATAGGCCTACATTTTACTATTTATAAACTGACTGCAGAAAAAGTGTATACGTTAGAATGGAAATTAGTAAAACTCTATAGACATGATAAATTCATTTAACTTAATTCTATACATTTTCTCCATAGTAAAACCTATTCAAGGCTTTGGATTTTTCTTCTATTGAAACTCCTACCTTACTTATTTAGTTCTATAGCAATGAACTTATTTACTGATAATAAGTTAAAGTACAGTAGCAACAAATAAAATAATTGACATTTGTTAGTTTACTTTGAGGTTAACAAAACACTGAACATACCACGACTGTAACAATAAAATATAATGTTAAGTGTGATACTCTTTTACTCAGTCATCTCCGTTTACACTGACCCCAAATCCTTAGGAATTCAGAAAAGTATGCAGGTTAGAGAAAACGAATAAGGTTTTACACCTAAACAATCAAAAATTGCAATCAAGTGCAGGGGTAGAACCAAAGCATTTTCTGAATAAGTACAGTTGGGATGACAAAAAGTTGTCTCCAAGTATTTGCTACGGTCACCAGTCATTCCAAACTGAAATAGTGTGAATGTCACAGTAACCTAATGTATTGTCAACAGGGAAGATTGGACAACCAGAAGGTTGGGTATTCCGGAATCTAATGCATCAACTTATTATTACTCGTATCATTGGTGTTTAATAAGTAGGCCTGGAGAAAATAAAAATTAGAAAAAAAAAGTTAACTTATTAACCAAGCTGTAAGTTATTGAAACATTTTAGGAATTGGTGTTAACAGTTCAGTGGCGGTCTCAGGAAGGGATGGGAGGGATAACTTATATCCCCCAAAAATATTTTATATTTTATTAGCTAACATAAAAACTATTAGCTTGAGCATAATTTAGAGCTCACATAAGTATAAAAATATGTTTTTAGGCTTTTAATTCCACATTTTTCCTGGGGGGGAACCCCGGTGGTCATCCCCCTCCCCAGAAATGAAATCCTCGGACCGCGGCTGTAACAGTGTAACAAATAAGTTTAGCTCCAAGTTAACTTACACTAAGTAATATTGATTTAGGAAATATGTACATTTTTAACTAGCCAACAACTGGAGCAGGGCGTGAGCTAGACGTTTCAACTCAATGGTAGGCCTATGTAGGGTGGAGTGTGTTTCAAGTGATAGCCAAAATTCCAGCATAACATGATACAACCTGTCATTTTTTTAATTACACCTTAAGCTAAGCTAAATGTACGCAATTTTCACTCTTTTGAGGAAGTTCTGAAGTGAAATATTTTATGGTATAGGCCTTAATAGAAAAACAGGCCTCCCACCAACTTGCAATTTGGAATCAAGCAATGGCCCTAAACAGTAACTTAGGCCTATTGTAGCCTAGCCTATGTTGCCACTGGAGGAAGGAATTGATGGTTCTTGATGTTTAAAAGAACCAAAAGAAAATATAATCGTTTGTCATCAATTAAAACTTGTCGACAGGATCTATGCAAATAATATAGATATAAACTTTGTACAGTAGTCTACTGCTATTCAACAACTGTGACGTCATACGGCAGAAGCGTCAAAATGAAACAAAGAAATGTAGAAATTCAAGAACGAGATTGACAGAAAACCATGATCAATATGGAATTTGGTGACAATGGTTTTATTGCAATTTTGTAAGGGTTGATATGAAACGTTTAAGATTGGGTAAGCCAAACAGAAATCTAGCAGATATCTTGTCAACATGCAGACGCCAGTTGGCTTGGCGCGATTAAACGTAGCAGACGCCATCCCTGTCACAACAAGTAGCAGCCGACAGCGAGGTTTAATACACGAGAATAACTGTTAAATTAACTAATTCTAAACACAAATGTGGCATGGCAACCAAAGAGAATACATTACCTCCGCATGTTTTGCAGGATTTGGTTTTATTTTCTGGAGTATACATTGTAAATCATAAACAAAACAACATACATTATTTCTACCCACTACAAATGAATGTTTGGTCCGTTTCTGTCTCTTCTCTCTGCTCTGCAGTCGCAGTTTCCTCTCTTCTCTTTTGTCTGTACGCTAAATTTTGCTTCTGCTCTTCCGCACATTTCCAGCCAATGGACAGGTAATGGCGGTAAAATTGCTTTGGATTTTAATTTAGGCCAATAAAATGTATAAACCATCTTATATTTTAAATAATTATATAAAAAAACTGTTTCAAAGCTTATGGCAGCTAGCCCGCTAGCCCTACCATGCTACTGGACCTACACTCGGGTTGTACCAAAATAAAGGTTATCGGTCCTATATGTGTAGGTTTTATTTGTATTTTTAAAATATTTATGTTGGGCCAAAATTGGAAATTACACTATTTTATGGAGATTTAACATAAGGCTAATTCTTTCTATATATTAATAGCCAAGCATGTTTTTTGAATTTTTTTTCTCAGCTCCTGTGCATCGTAGGGAAAATCCACGGCCACCTTTAACTCCCAGGCTAGGGCCTTCAAAATGATAACGTCGCAAGAAAGTGTTTTGTTTGGAGGCTGCTAATGTTACTGTATCATTTGTGTATTAGCGAACTTCCCATATAGGGAATAAAGCTATTACCGCAGGTCTCATGGTAAGACCTGGACCCGAGACCGATTTACTTTTTTCATTTTGAGGTCCCTAGAGGCCAAAAAACACCATCCGTTCAAATTCATATATATATATATATGTATATGTGTGTGTGTGTGTGTGTGTGTGTCCGTTAGCACGTTAACCCTTTGATGCACAGGGAAATTTTTTTATTTCAATTTTTACTGAATTGATGTTTTTTGGTAACCTTAACCGTGTCAGAGCTCAGGAAAAATAATTTAAAAAATTTAATTTTGTTTTTATAATTTTTATTAATAAAAAACAAGGTGGTATTCTATATATACCACTGTGTATCAGTGCGTAGTCTAATGTGCATATAAAATATTAAAAACCTTCCTTGAAACGTAAAACCTACCAATATGTTACAGATAAGAAACAATTATTTACCTGTTCATGTATTGTAATAAAAAGATTACTTATCTAATCTATGTGAAAAATAGTAAATTAGCTCAAGATATTAGTACTCGTAAATACATTTGTATGACAATACTGAATACATTTGAAGGTCTGTTATAAAATAACAAGTTTCCAGAGAATCATTGTACAACATCGTATTCTCCAATCTTAAGATTCAAGATTAATCTTTATCTTAGTTCAGTTGTGAAACTCATAAAAACCATTTTTTGTCTGTCTAGCATAAGCACACTTTGCGCTCGTTACATTCCCAGTATGAGCGAATCTTTTTCTCTTTTGTTCTGCATAAGTTGCATCTCGTCCATGTTGATATTATGGGCATGTGAACGTTCTCCTTGAGCCTCTTTTCTACTGGCATTTTAAATTTATGTTTGATCAAATTTAATTTAGCCTTTCCTTTGCCTTTCGTCGATTTTGAGTGTAAGCCATTCGTGACGGAGATACGGAATTGCTTCACCTGGGTTATGATTCCAAACGCAATAGGTGATTTATAATGATAAAAATAAATTATGTATTTTCATCAATGAAGATGATTATATTTGCTGAAGAGAGACTACTGTCATCTGGTCAATTATCTGATAAACCTATTTCATCTTAGCAACCGTCATTTAGAATTTCTGTTAGTAAGATGTCTTCAGTCATGTCTTTTGGATATCTGAGAATAATAAATAAATATTTAAAATATAGTAAGTAAAATTTATATGACTGAGTTACCTAAAAAAAATAACGAAAGTTATCACAAAATATGCTTGAAATTATATTTTAGCTTAGTAAGGCAACAACAAAATATGTCTAGTGTTAGTAGCATAGTGGTATTGTAGGTATACCACCTATATTTGGCAAAATAAACTTTCAGTTTGAACAAAAACAGTGTTTTTGACGCAATATAACAATTACATAGTGTCTAATTCAACATAAAAACATATATCTTACTTTGTTATATGTAATAGAAGGGTATACAAGACAGTCAAAACCTCTGCATAACAGCCTGTAGCCTGTAGCATACAACGACGCTTTGAAACTTCAACTTTAATACTAAATTAATCTAGAAGCTACTAGTTCCTCCAAAATACGCTAGGTTACAGCACTGACTAGGCCCCTGGTATGGTATTTCCACAATACCAGTATGCATCAATGCAGTAAAAATTATTTTACAAGTGGTATCCTGATAATACCACTGTGAATCAAAGGGTTAACTTGAACAAAAATGATCCGATTTTGATGAAATTTTGTATAAACGTGTAAACCTGCATCTATTTGAACGAGTTCGCGAACCAGCATGATCGGACCATGGGAACGGGGGTTTATGGGGTAAAAATGGGGCTTTCTCATTTTTTACCCTAAAAACATAAAATTTTGGAATTTCTTTCCCAACCATTTTGTAGAGCTTAAAAATAGAAATAATTTAGTATATTTAAGCATTGTTGTATGCCTAATGGTTACGGAGAAAATTCAAAAAAGTGTAAATTTAAAATTCCCATGTTATTCTTATGGAGAAAATGAAAACTGTTGTAGTTTACTTGTTTATGGATACATGTTGATAAGATTTGGCAAATTTATTTATTTCATCGTATACTATTGACGTTTGGTAAAAAAACTGTTTACCTTCCCCGTAGCAGCAAACCTAAGCACTCATTAAATCTAATGTTATTTAAATTGGGAATAAATATGTCTTATTTATGGAAATATATTTTTAAAAATGTACCTAATCATACAAGTTGCAATTCGCTTAGTCTGCAGGTTTACTGCGGCGGGGGTATTTTTTAAGAATAAGCTTAAAAGCTACTGCTAAGATCAAGCTCTAAAGAGCAAGCCTCAGATCTGTCTAAGATTAAGCTTGGTTACTGGGGCTATGAAAATATTGACTCCATTTTAAATGTACAGAAATATATTTTCAATTTATATTGTTTTCTCTTTCAATTCTATATGTTATTTTCAATATTTTAATAAATTTATATTCATACATGTAAATGAATAATACTCGAATTAATGAGCTGGTGTCACCTGCCATGTTATCTTACTCATGGTATGTCTGGCGCTGAACAACACTACTTGCAACTTCAACCAATTCACCCAGACAGTCCTGCATAGACATTTTTAAAAAATTCCGAATTCTAACCTTTCCATCCTTATACATTTTTGAAACATTATCCTTCACCAGAAAAAAATATATCTTCTTTTCGTTCACAGCTCAACAACAGATGATATCCATTTCGTAATTCTCCAGACCTTTCAATTCCTAATCACTCAACGTAATTCTTCCAAAATAATTTTCAATACAATGCCGTCAAGCTTTTTCCTCCTTCCCCAAAGACCGAACAGGATTTAAATAGATTTCAGAAAAAACTAAAGAATTTTTTGCTGGATAATGCCTTCTGCAGCGTTCGTGAGTTTCTTTGCCCTAGAACTGGTAGTGTAAATAAAGTAGCATAGTTGACAGTTTTATTTTATATAAGAGATTTTTTGTTATGTAAATATTGTATTTTATTTTGTTTTTGACGTAGCTAATGCATTTTATGTTAATTTTGCTGAATAAACTACTTATGACTTATGACTTGGGCCGCGGCCTGAAGAGCTATCCACGGTGGCCGTGGAAAATCGTAGGTAGCGTATGGGAGCGTATCTACGTCGTGGTCGTCAAATTATGTACCTATTTTCGTGTTATTCTTCAAGGAATTCTTTGACGCTATATTCTTCTCCACAAGGTAGATTTTTAATAATTAATTGTTTTCTTGAGGACATTATTATCTTCACTTTTTAAATGTTGAGGAAATTATTGTAAATTTTGATGTTCATGTGAATGTGATAGGGACTTATTTTTACCAATGTTGTTCTCACTTGCTGTACATGTAGATCTCGGGCTTGTCTGGCGTTGTGATTATTGATACTATTGTTGTTGGTGAAATGTTCTGGTTTGATTTTACCAGTAACGGCACATTCTAAAACATAAACTTCTGTAGGGTTAAAATGCTAAGTTCCTTGAAGATATCTCTGCAGGAGTCTTGACCTTTCATCTTACAAAAATTATTCATTAATACCATCAACAGATTTTCCAGTATAAACATTCTTTGAGCTACAGTGCTATTTTCCCTTTGCCATTACAATATATGGAAGCAACCGTAGTGATTTTGTACAGCATCAGGACATCTCTATCAATTATATTTTTGAGTCTTCGAATAGGATAGCACTCAACTAGTAAACCCTTTAGCTATGTTTTCTACGTAGTTTTCCCGATTAAGATAAATGTTCAAAATATGGTTATTCCTAAAATTAAGTTACTTTTCTTTTATTCGATTACCATTCCACATTTTTTAAGTGCTGGTAAAGTCCGATTCTTTCCTATTATAAAACTGAATTAGACCTATTATTTTACTCTTTACGGTCATTTTGCCATTGATCCTCCAGTTTTACATATTATTAATTAATTCCGGAGAAAAAGGCATCAGCGTAATGTACAAAGAGCTAAAAAGCGTCTGGAGCCTCTGGATCGTTATTGAACATACACAATTAAATCTAAGGCTTACCTTACGATCCAATTTATTTATATATATCGTTAGTCCTTTGTCTTATAGGTTAGCTAAACTTATTGTTTGCCATCTCTTGTTTGAGATATTGTCGATTTGGTATAATTTTTACACACATTGATCCCATATAAATATTTACAAAGGTCACCATGGCTATAATAACATTGACTGCTATAAATTCTTTTAGCTCAGTGGTGGCACAGAAAACATACTACTATAACCTATAGTACTAACATAGATAAAACATACTGTTCTAATATACAGTATACAGTTATAGCACGGCCTCTAAAGGCGGCCGTGGTTAGTTATAATTTTAGCTCAGTGGTTATAGTATGTTTTCTGTGGTAGTGGTCTGGTGGAAGCGGGGCAAAGTGAAGTGAAATGCATCGAGAATCGACTGAATCAGTGAATCGAGTGAATGTTTTAATTAATTGCATGCAATGTAAATATCAGCTGAGTTTATGTGTTGGTTGGGGAAGCAATTCGTTAATGTCAAAACAAAACAGTATAGCGTAATAGTGTTTAAAAATATCCCAATTAAATAAGTTTAGTTTGAACACTTTTATTTGGTCTAAAATTGATGATATAGATTTTGATAATACCTACCCGAATTAATTGACTAGTTACCTGAAGGAGTTTCTTAAGTTAAGGTTTACAATATATTGATACAAGTTAGAGTGCAAACTAGCCTAAGTTACTACCCTGTACGTTATATTTAAAGCCAAAGCTGTTACTGTGTTTACAACTTTCAAGTTTACATAAATTATTTACAAACGTTCCTGTTTGATTTACCATGGTAGATAGTAAAATCAACGTTAGTTTTGTGTGTCAAAGATGTCTCCAACCATTGAAGATGGACTCTTCTTTTGGGAATATAAATGAACATACCCTTGCAGAACTTACACGTAAGAAAGATTTTTTTATTCTTATGGCCTAGGCTACAAGTTTTATTTTTAGTTCATAACAATTCAACATTTTGACAAAGTCACAGTTGATCTTTGATGGAATAGGAATTCCTAACTTAGATCCATTGCAGTCAAAATTTTGGTATAGGCTACAATTCCACCATTAGCTAAGTATTTACGAACATTATCAAAACAAAAAACTATCACAATTTTCCATTCTATGAACCTAAGTTATGTCTAGGCCGCCCTACTTTTGATAATCATAGGCCTATCTTAATTAATAATTACCAGGTAAGTTTATACGGTAATTATTTACCCTACTATATGTCTACTTACAGTATTTTTAACGCTGAATCCAAAAATGCAATCAGTTTTGATCGGAGAGATTCCTAAGCGCCGTACAGTTATATAATTAATATTAAGCTTAAGTTTTGTTGATTTATTAACATATTTGTGGTATGGACGAGTCCAAGTTCTAGTGGTGACTAACACTAAAAGGGATGGAAGGTTTGTGGAGTGGAAACAGCTGTCAGTTGTTTACATTCTATACTAAACAGACAAAACCACACTCAACGCCATGAGAGCAAAATCAGAGTTACAATATGCAATAACTAGATTTTAAAAAGAAAATGGACTTTGGTGCTGTTTAGAAAATACAATAAATCAATTACGATACATAAACTATTAATCACATGAACATAAATTATAAAACAAAATAGAATTTATTCACGTAAAATATCAGTAATAGAAGCTAGGCCACTGCCGACATGATCATCGTCCTCATTCCAATCCTCAAACATTGACTAATGCCTCAACGTCTGGTAATGAACGTGCCATAGTGCAATCCCATAGTACATAATCCCATTGTGTCTAAAAGTGAAAACGTTCTACAGTGCATAATTTAATGTATCAGCAACTAATATAAATGATGTTACATAATCTAATCTAATCTAACCTAACCCAACCCAACCTTAATATTAATGTCGAAATCGCATTTTATGTCAGAAAGGGCATGTGAGGAAGATAGGTCGGACTTTATGCGGATTCGTGACTATATTAAGTCCTTTGAAGTGAGGTTAGATTAGGTAAGTTAAAGGTTAGGTTATAATGAACCGACTCATTAATTTATGCAACTTCCAGACTGTTTTTGCACTTGAAATAGTGGGTGAAACACAACGAAATAACAATATCAAAAATGTGCAAGCTCGTCGGTTCATTAAACCTAACCTTTACCTTCCTAATCTAACCTCACTTCAAAACACTTACCGGTAATACAGTCACGAATCCGCATAAAACCCGACCTACCTCCCTCACATGCCTAAATAAGAACTGATTATTTGGTTTCAAAGCGAATTTATTTGATTTCATTCCGCATTAGATCAAGTATAAACAGTTGTTTGCTCTTCTCACTCAGTCCTCACTCCTCACTCTTCACTCAGTACGGACCCGTCCAGACCACGCCATATTACCATTAGCCTACCACCTTCAGTACCACTCAATTATCCTTAGATTCGTAATCCTAACCTTCGTTTTACGGCCACTACGGCCACTTAGGAATCTCTCCGTCAAAAACTGATTGCATTTTTGGATTCAGCGTTAAAAATACTGTAAGTAGACATATAAAAATTACATCATATCCCAATGTAAATACGGTAAATATTAGCCACTTACCTTAATATTTTTAATTATAGAGTTAAGTTAATGTTAAGCCTAAGTTAGGCTTAGAATTAAAAAAGTAAAAATACCCATCCATCCTAACCTTGCCTTAGCCTATTACCTTATTACCGGTTCTTCATCTTTTACCCCATGGGAGATTGATGGTGTCATTAAATAACATGAAAAACACTTTACTAAACTTGATTGACTGAACTTGATACATTTACAAATTAAAAAAAAAACATATTTTTAACACTGAGGCTGTGGACAGGTGTACTTCAGCCCAGGCCTAGTAGAGGGTCATCAAAATACTCCTTCAGCGAGTAGTAGGCTTTTTCTTTAAAGTAGGCCTATGCAGTGAGTAGGCCTACCTTAAGGAGTTCCCTTTTGTCGAGAAGTACGATGGAGTTTGGCAACCTATTATATATTGTTAGGGCTCCATTACTAAAGGCCTTCTGTGTCCTTGATAGTCTAACTCTAGGAACATCTAGTTGGTTGCGATGCCTAGTAAGGTGATGATGTTTTGCAGCTCTGGAAGGAAACTCCTCAATATTATCTAGTACATACTTTATGCAGGCGAGGATATAGTGACCAAACACTGTTAGAATTCCCAGCCTGGCAAAGATAGGCTTGCAGTGAGCCAGACGATCGCTGAAGGTGATTGTTCGTAAAGCTCTCTTTTGCTGGACCAGGATGTCTTCGGTCGTGGGTGCGTGTCCCCATAACAGCACACCATAGCTCACGTGACAATGAAACATTTAATGATAGACATTCATTAGGTATTTCTCCGTGACCAGATACCTAGGTTTCAGGAGCAGGCAGCATAATGCCTAATTTATTCCAAGTTATTTTGTGTTTTACATTTGACATGAAATGTAAACGACGCAATTCGTGTAGCAAACATAACATTTCAATCGGAAATTGAAGTATTATTTTCATTGAAGCGATAAAATATAACTATAAACACACCATTATAATCTCATTATTAAGTTTGCTTATATTTAGGGTCTATAACATTATCTTCGTATTTGGTTATTAGTGTGGTGATTACATTTCTTACAATCTAAAATTACGTTTTTCTACACGCTACTACATAAGCAGATGGTTTATTGTTTTACAGTATCTTATATTATTTTATTGCTGTTAGTCAAAATAACATTTTTACGCTGCTACTCGTGAATCTTCACATTTTATCTTTTTATATTAGCTATCTTTAATCAATCTATTAGCGTGACGTATAGGCTACGTGCGAGTGCGGTTGCTAGTTTTTTCAAATGTATTTATTATATTCTAGAGTGACATATGAACATTTAAATACACTGTGAATAAGAAATACGGGTGATGAAAGTTCCGCGTGGTAATATTTATTTAGGTACTTAGAAAACGGAAACATTGCGCAGTGTTACACTGGTAAGGCCAGTTTAAAACATTAAAGTACTCAACGAGGGGACTTCTCGCTCATTTAAAATGGCTAATAAGTTAAAAATCATAATACTATATATTATATAATCCCGGGATCGGCTGAGACAAATCCCGAAATCCCGGGATTGAGACGCCAAGTTGGATATAAAATGTTCTTAGGACCAAGAAGGAAAATATAAACCCTAAGATATTTTTGAATGAAAACAAATTGTTACATTAGGTTTATTTCCCTTAAATAGTTGTAATTTTTTTCAGTACCTATTCTCTCAAGCCCTGAGGTAGATTTAGAATCACAAACTGCCAGTTTAGATCACATGATACCAGCATTCAGACTTATGGACTCAGCCAATGGCAGTAATGGATTCACCCTTGTTGGCAATGAGAATTCTACTACGGGGAGTTTGAGCCATATTATGAAAGTAAGTACAGTAGCCTTGTTCATATTTTTGTGTAGCTTAGGTATTGCGTATATAAGTATTGTTTCCTATGTGTATGCCTTGCCATTTTTAAGTTTTTTAATGAAATCGTCCAACCCCCAGGGTCCAGTTTTGTTACCAACCAATATCAATTTTATGTTTAATATAGCATGGTTAATTTGTCATCAACCAAATCATTTGAAAGCCCAATGTCAAGTAGCGCCTGGGCCAGAACTAGCTTGGAATCGAACCGGTGACCTTCAGATTTCAAGGCGACATCAATAACCAATCGGCTACCCAGACAATTTATTGTGAGCGACAGTGCTTATTTGTTTTTACCCACCTCTGCTCTAAATTTAAGTAGGGCTCTAAATTTATTCTGTGTCCCTTCAAAGTTACCGTAATTATTCTGCTGAAAATGGTATGAAACCACTGTAACCAGCTTTTATGAATTCTCCTTTTTTTTAGAAAACAGCAAGCTTGTTTGACGTTGTTTCTGCAAACTCGGAGGTGGACCACCCTCTGTGTGAGGAATGTACAGACACTCTGCTGGAGCTGATGGATAAGCAGTATCAGCTCACTGCTCAGGAGTGGAATGACTACAGTCAGTTTCTGAAAAGGTAAATTGGTCTACAGGCCTACACAGCCAGTAACTATATACAGCCCTGATTCTATAGGCCTTGGCCTGCTCAGCTGTTAATACAGTCCTGACTTTATAGGCCTCTATTTTAGTATCATGAACTTAAAGAAAAGCACGTTTCCCGTGATAGAAATCTTATCCCGAATTGGCTTTAATATTTTGAGGTATTATGCTAAACTTAAGCTACCTAGTTATCTAGACTTCTTTTTTTACTTTGCCCATCTGAAGGGGTGGGCTAATAAAACGGGAAGACCAAGTTTGAAGTTTCTAAGTAATTCAATCTACTCATCCATAGTTGCATTCATCTCCTACATTTCTTTATGTTTCTCAAACATTTTTCCACTGCAAATTCTTTGGCACTTAACTCAAAACAACCCTTACAACTATGTGGACAACATAAGGTCTCTGTTTGGTTCTGTAGCCTCTTATTTTCCTGGTTACTTAATATAGTGATCCTCTGTTAGTTCTTATGTTGCATTAGTGACAAGAACGGAAGAATTCTGCCAAGTTTTCATTGATCTTTGATCTTCCAGAACCGTTACACTTTGTACCCTCTGAAATGGAGCAAATACACTAAACTTTCTTGAATCTGTAATCTTCCTCAGAATGACCTTGACAGGAGGAACAATTTCATCTTGGATTAATTTATTTTGTCTGTAAATGATTTAAATAATTATTTTGTTTCTAAGGAAACATACAAATTACTTACTGTCAACATGCTGTTCAAGAGCCTTAGACCTTTTACAATGGATAGATTAAGACATTCAATTTTTCCTATAAAGTTGAAACCAAATTTAGAATGAAAAAAAAAAACATATGTATCTTAACTGAGTCTCCAACAGAATGTGCTGCTGTCAATTAGTGATTTATGTTATATCATTGACTATTGGATACTAACTATTGTATCCAAAGTCAAAGGTTTCAAACCAACCTCAAATCAAGCCAAGCAGAAAGGTCTACTTATGGATTTTTGTTAGGATAGCAGGCCTACCTAAGTATGTCCACTCTGGCCTAAGAAACACAAACAATGTATTCCACAGAAATTTGATGCAAGAGAGATACAGTAACTAATATGTAGTCCCATCTTCCTGACATTAGCACCTCGTTTCAAGCGTTGGACATTGTGAAAACAAAGTTCAAAGATAGGTTTTGGAGATTCAGTTAAAATATTATACTTAATTTGTTTGTAATTAGATGAGTTTTAGATAATTAATTCACACAATTTATTTTGATTTTCAGACTCGAAAAAGAAGAAACAAGTGATGGTCATGAAGCTCTTATGCAAGAATTAGCAAGTGTAAGAGATAAATATTCCTATCCTTAACAGAATATCCTATCTTTTTATACTATTTCATTCATGTTCAATACTTTTGGCTGTCATAGCCATAAAACAGAATGGAAGTTTTTACTAAGGGATAAAACAATATAATCAAACAATAGATATATTTGAGTTGTTTTGAGATATATTTTTTACTTTTAAAAGTTTTAAAGTATGGTGAATTCTTAATTATTATTGTGGTTGTTTGGGATGAAAATGCCTGCAAACTATAGATAGATAAATGAAAATTGTTGAAGCCATTTTGCATTTTATGATACAGATTTAGTATTCATTTGTTGTTAAAAACAGCAATACAAATTTAAATGGTGGCAAAAATAAAATATTTTGGAGACATGGTAGGGCCTATAGTACTTTCCAGCTATAATAAAGTATTTAATATAATAAATAGGTTACATACCTTATAAATCCGACAAACAGCTCATTTTAATTGAAGGTCGTTTACATGTTTCGGCTTGTATCGGCCATTGTCAAAACGTTGCAGTTGGATGGTGAAATCCTTGTCATTGTTTTCTACTAAAAGTACATACACAAACACATACACACGGACGGGACGAAAACATTACGAAAAACGAATAAAACTTTAAATAGGCCTATTAAATACACGGGCAGGACGCACGCACACCGTTGTCAAGGTCAGGATGCAGACTGGACTAGTTGTGTCGGTGTTGTCTTATCAGCTGATGTGGACTGCTGACCAATGGGCGTCAAACTCTGCCTTTGTTTTAATATGCTATTGAAAATGTGATGGGATTTGAATTTAAGTTTTTCATTCAGAATTACGCTCTCAAAATTGTTGTTCTCATTAACCTGTGCCTTATAAATTTCAAATTCTTCGAGAGTGTTAAGTCTGCTTCCCTTTTGGCAAATATGTAGGATTTCAAGGCCTTTACTAATATCGTTCATATCATGGTTTTTATCGACCAAATGCTGAGCAAACGATGATTTTTGTTTTGTATTACGAGGATCTGGTCTATGCTCCTTGTATCTAGTATTGAAATCTCTACCTGTCTGCCCAGTATACGTGCTAGGACAACTGGCGCAAGTTAATTTATATACACCACATTTGTCATATTTATCACCACATCTGGTTGAATTGTTTAAAATATTTACGGAACGATTAGTTGTTCTGAAGGATAGATTTATACCATGTTTTTTCAATTGTTTGGATAGGCCGTTATGCAGAATGTTACTGTATTCAACGCAAACATACTTCTCATTGTCCTTTCTTGTGAACTCAGATTTACTGGCTTTTGATTTATGTTTGTGAATGAGCTTATCAATTAAATTAATATGGTAACCATTGGCTATGGCAGTGTGTTTTATTATGCCTAGTTCTTTCTCATAATTCGCAATAGACATGGGTATGTTCAAGAGCCTATGTACCATACTGTTGTAAGCGGCATGTTTCTGAGATGGCGGGTGGTAAGATGAGGTGTGGATTGTCATATCTTTAGTCAATTACACAACAGCACCAGCCTTCAAAGTTGCTAAAAAGCTAGAACAGATTTTGAAAACGTACTTTAAGTTTTTAAATAACTACAGTTTAATTAATTCTTACGACTTTATCAACAAGACAAAAAATACAAACATAAAAATGCATTCAACGTTGGCATCTTTCGACATTGTAAATTTATACACCAACGTCCCTGTCAACAAAACATTAACCATCATTGAAAACAAGTTATTATCCGATTCCGATTTATTACCAGAGGCAGTAAATGAAATAATAGTTCTACTTAAGGAAATACTTAATCAAAACTATTTCACTTTCAACAACAACTTTTACAAACAATGTGATGGACTAGCCATGGGGTCTCCATTATCTGGAATTTTGGCTGATATATACCTTAACCACATTGAGAATGAACATATATTTTCTGATAAAAATAAACTCAAAAATAAAATACTAATGTACCATCGTTATGTTGATGACACTATACTGTTGTTTGATGGAAGTGCTAGACAACTTGATATATTACATAAATATTTAAACAGCATTGATCCAAAGCTAAAATTCACCCTGGAAACTGAAAACGCCAATAAAATCAACTTTTTAGACCTCACTATTGAGAAAATCAACAACAAATTTGATTACAGTGTTTATAGGAAACCAACCACAACAGATATGACAATCCACACCTCATCTTACCACCCGCCATCTCAGAAACATGCCGCTTACAACAGTATGGTACATAGGCTCTTGAACATACCCATGTCTATTGCGAATTATGAGAAAGAACTAGGCATAATAAAACACACTGCCATAGCCAATGGTTACCATATTAATTTAATTGATAAGCTCATTCACAAACATAAATCAAAAGCCAGTAAATCTGAGTTCACAAGAAAGGACAATGAGAAGTATGTTTGCGTTGAATACAGTAACATTCTGCATAACGGCCTATCCAAACAATTGAAAAAACATGGTATAAATCTATCCTTCAGAACAACTAATCGTTCCGTAAATATTTTAAACAATTCAACCAGATGTGGTGATAAATATGACAAATGTGGTGTATATAAATTAACTTGCGCCAGTTGTCCTAGCACGTATACTGGGCAGACAGGTAGAGATTTCAATACTAGATACAAGGAGCATAGACCAGATCCTCGTAATACAAAACAAAAATCATCGTTTGCTCAGCATTTGGTCGATAAAAACCATGATATGAACGATATTAGTAAAGGCCTTGAAATCCTACATATTTGCCAAAAGGGAAGCAGACTTAACACTCTCGAAGAATTTGAAATTTATAAGGCACAGGTTAATGAGAACAACAATTTTGAGAGCGTAATTCTGAATGAAAAACTTAAATTCAAATCCCATCACATTTTCAATAGCATATTAAAACAAAGGCAGAGTTTGACGCCCATTGGTCAGCAGTCCACATCAGCTGATAAGACAACACCGACACAACTAGTCCAGTCTGCATCCTGACCTTGACAACGGTGTGCGTGCGTCCTGCCCGTGTATTTAATAGGCCTATTTAAAGTTTTATTCGTTTTTCGTAATGTTTTCGTCCCGTCCGTGTGTATGTGTTTGTGTATGTACTTTTAGTAGAAAACAATGACAAGGATTTCACCATCCAACTGCAACGTTTTGACAATGGCCGATACAAGCCGAAACATGTAAACGACCTTCAATTAAAATGAGCTGTTTGTCGGATTTATAAGGTATGTAACCTATTTATTATATTGAATACAACAGCTCAGGAGCTAGAATGGAAATGAATTTTAATAAAGTATTTGGTATTAAAGCTAGTTTATATGAAAATTAGACCCCTCGTGTGTATTCTTTCTCAGTACAAATCAATACAAATGGATACTTACACACATTTACTTACATCACTCCTAAACAATTTTTTTGATTCAGTTAAAAAAAAAACACAAATATTTCTATACGTCTCGCCACCCTAAGTTGAGGCAGCCCAAACTGACCGGGAGGGTCATTACCGGCTGTTCCCGCACGACCCTTTATAATCCGATTAGCGACACTTCCGTGAACGCTCTAGTTCAATAATTATCATTAACAACTTTGATGCTGTTTGAACATGTTTGATGCATTAACAACATTATCATTAATAACTTTGATTTAATACACATTTCCGTTTTTGATGGGACAAAAACGGAAATGTTTGTTACCGGTAAATCAAAGTTATTAATGTAAATGACTATATTTATACATCGAAATTAAAATTTGTTAATGATAATTATTGAACTAGAGCGTTCTCGGAAGTGTTGCTAATCGGATTATAAAGGGTCGTGCGGGACCAGCCGGTAATGACCCTCCCGGTCAGTTTGGGCTGCCTCAACTTAGGGTGGCGAGACGTATACCCAAAACTCAAGAAAATTGATGACAAAGAGAAAGTAAAACGTTATTTCCCGTTAAAATTAAAACTTATATACGCTAGATTTATAAACCAAAGTTAAGGGTTGGCTCTATCACTTAAAAATCATTGGGTGCTATAAGTACTTGAAATACTTGTTACCTATTGCAGTTGAAGGATGAAGAAGAGCGTTTGAAGGCAGACTTGTTGGCTTTGCAAGAAGAACATCAGGCTGTAGAGAGGGATCTGAAAGAGAAGGAGTCAGAAAGAGAGAGATTGGAGAGAGAAGAGGACAGATACTGGAGAGAGTACAGCAGGCACAGGCGCGACTATATGATCAATGAAGATGAGCTGCAGAGGTAGGAGAGTCCCTTATAACAACCTCGTATCCGGCCACCACGGGACCAAGCCCCTGGCCAGATAAACCAATTTCTATGATAAAACCAAAAAAATTATACCTAATAAACACAACACTGCAACAGACTTGGAACATTTAACAGACTGTGTTTTCAATGTAACTGGTGTTTTCCACTTGGCCTAGTAAGTCCTACTAATATTATAAATGAGAAAGTTTGGATGTATGGATATATGGATGTATGGATGTATGTTTGTGACAAGTGAACGCGAAAAATACTGGTCGGATTGGGCTGAAATTTGGCATGATGATAGCTGACATTCCCGATTAACATATAGGCATATTCTTATTTCAAAAATCCTTTCGGGCTCCGCCCCAGTGGCTCTGGAGTTTCCCATGTTAACCTAATGAGAAATGGAATTATTGAATCTTAACAGCTGTTTCAATTAAACAAGTTGGTCCTGTTCTATGATGTTCAATAGCATTAAAGTTACAAGGATTGCCAACAGGGTGCAGCACTATTATTTCTTTTACATTTATGACAACAGCTAATTTGCAACCAAAAGGTGAGTGAGCGTAGCGAACGAACTTCAACCTGGAGGCGAGTTAGCGAAGCGAACGAGCTAAACTGAAGGCAAGTGAGCGCAGCGAATGAGCTCCAACCTAAAGGTGAGTGAGCGTAGCGAACGAGCTCCAACCTAAAGGTGAGTGAGCGTAGCAAACAAACTTCAACAAGGACGGCCTAGTAAGTTTATACATATTTTTGTTTAATAAAAGTTAGCTATGATGTTGTTGGTGTTGTATCCATTTCAAATGTGACCATTAATTTTGCTCTTCTCAGTTCATAGACATCTCCTTAAATAAACTACTAGCTACTTTTTTCGGTAATCAAATTGTTTAAATTTCAGCATAGAGTGTCAGCTATCCTATGCTCAGTCACAGCTGGACAGGTTGAAGAAGACCAATGTGTTCAACGCTACTTTCCACATCTGGCACAGTGGGCATGGCCACTTCGGCACAATAAACAACTTCCGTCTGGGTCGGCTGCCGAGCGCTCCTGTAGACTGGAGTGAGATCAATGCTGCGTGGGGCCAGACTGCGCTGCTGCTCACTGCACTTGCACGCAAAATGAACCTCACGTTTGAGAGGTACCGAGTTGTACCTTACGGCAATCACTCGTACATTGAGGTAACTACATATTATCTTGTATGTCTATTGGTTGCTAGGAATGTATTCATAATTTGCTATTAGTAGTAAATAATTTCCTTGTCATGTTATCATCATGGAGAATAAACTAAAACCAATGTAGATAGTTTGGTGTGGATAATTTTCTTTAGGTTGGCAAATTTCTTTATTTGAGTAGGATTTTACAACAAAAAAACATTTGTGACATTTGGGAGTTCCTTGCGAATATAAGCACTCATAATGTATAACTTTATTTGTATTAGGTGTAGGTATGATAGTTAAACCCCCTTGGTTAAAATCTTTTATAGAATAAAAAATCAAAATGCAATATTGCGACTCAATTATGCACCTGGGTGCAAAATACACCTTGTTTTTCAACTTTGTGCTGCTCTTCCTGACAAACTATTGATATGAAACTTTTACTGAAAAATCTGCAAGTACCTGATAATTTCTTGTCAGATCAGACCAACAGTTGGCCAAAGGGGTTGGTTTGGACCTGGAATAATTTTTGGGCCAGACCCGGGTCAAGTCGGGCCAAGCTTTTATTTTTGTGTTCGCAGATAGCATTTGTGAAAACGCACAATCAAAAATTGACATGCTTAACGGTTTGCAGCAATAATGATGATGTTGTCTCGAGACTGGAAAATATATTAATTAGTTTTCTATGTAATTCGTTATATATAACATATAATTATTATAAATATATTATATATAACAATATATTATATAAAACAAATATAAAATATATAATTAGTTAATTACACGTTTGCTACTGATTGCCACAGACCGAGGTATACATTTGAATCTTACACATAGACCGGCTGTCACTTGGCTAACAGTACACACAGACCATGGGCGAAAACCTGTAAAACAGTGATCATTGACATTGTAATACGCTACAGTAAAGTTTGTAAATAATTTATCTTGTTTTTTTGAATTTTTATAACCTTTTGTAATGTCGCATATTTACGACGCTCGGTCTACAGCGAAGATAATAGTGAAAATTATCATACTGTAGTTTTCATGAAATAGACCAAACGTCACATATGCGACAGCTCATTTTTGTTTGTGTTTTGAGGTGAAAATCGGACGACTAATATTAAAGTGGCGTTTTAAATTGTTTTAAATCCAAATAACCAGGAGGGTAGCTGAAAATTAACTTGCACCCCCTTAACTTTTTAAATATTTGAGATATGTGAAATTGGTTTGTGGCAACCTTTTTAGATAGTGGCCACCCTCCTGGTTAATTGGATTTGATGCGTGGTTTTAGGGCGCCACTTTGTTATTAGTGGTCCGATTTTGGTTTTCTTTACGACAATTGTTTAAGGTCGCCATTTCATTGAAAAGTATTAATTAAAAGTATTAAAGTATTTTTGTCATGGAAAATTTTAAGCTACTCCCTATCCCCGCTACCCCTTAGGGCAAAATTTAAACTAGCCATAATTGTTGTAGCTCCTCATTTCTAAGAAGGAGAAAACCGCTTCCATTTATCTCAAGTTCAAAATTTAAGGGGGAATGCAAGTTACTTTTCAGCCACCCTGTATAATATACAGAACAACAGAACCTATCTTTAAATTTATAGCCTCTTTTGTTATGTACCCAAGGTGTTATCAGACCACAAGGAGTTACCATTGTATGGTTCTGGAGGCTTCAGATTCCTGTGGGACACCAAGTTTGATGCTGCCATGGTAGCCTTCCTAGACTGTCTACAGCAGTTCAAAGAGGAGGTTGAGAAGGGAGATTCTGGCTTCTGCCTACCTTACAAAATGGACCGAGGAAAGATCGAGGATGCTTCCACTGGCAACTCTTTTTCGGTCAAGTAAGTTAATTTTGATTAATTTTAATTGTTGATCAGCTAGTAAGTTTGTTTACTGATTTGTGTGCCCATTTAGGTGAGGTAATAAATGTGGCAGTGTTGTAAAAGTTTTACTGCTTTAGAAGGTTAAATAAGAGAATTTTAATATTTTACAGTCATAACTTATAAAATACTTTTATTTTTTTTACAGAATTCAGTTCAACTCAGAAGAGCAATGGACTAAAGCACTAAAGTTCTTGCTTACAAATCTCAAATGGGGCTTGGCTTGGGTTTCATCGCAGTTTGCCAAAGATCAACTAGAGTAGATCAACATTCAGACAGGTAAGTCTTTGTACTTGAAGAATAATTATATTTTTTTTAGTTGCTTTATCTCATGTAATAACTTCTTGCAACTGCTACGAACAAGTTTGGGAAAATCTTAGGTTTGTTTTGAATTAAAACTTTTTAAACCCACCATATTTATCATTATCATTTCATTTTAATTCAAACAATGCTGTCCCTGTGTCAATGAGTCAATCCTTTATTTTAAAATAAAAAATAACATAACTTTACATTCAGCAAAGCTGGCGTAACAGGTGATATTGTCACGAAGTAGGCCTACTAAAACCTTAAGACTAAAAAGACTAGCCTATTTATATGAAATTACTAAAACTAAATCAACTCATCGTTCAAAATAAAAAGAGAGTTAACATTTTGATAGTCCTATGTCTTATTGGTTAACAATTTAGAGACTTCCTTTTTGAATTCATCAATTGTTTCTACAGTTTTGATACGTTCTGGTAATTAGTTACACATTTCCCCCCAAATACTGTGGAAGATTTTCAATTGCAATAAGCCTGTGAATGGGCAGTGTAAATCATATTAATTCCTAGTTCAGAAAGTTAGTTTTCAAAGTCCAAGACTTGTTGTAGAACTGTAATTTGAAAAGCATACTTTATTAAGGTTTTTTTTAGCCAGAATAGCTACATATTCATCCCAATTCAGATTATCGTGCAAAGCCTAAAAGTTTGATAGAGTTGGTGCCATTAATAACTTTACCACTAAAGTTTAGTTGTATATTTATTTTAAAAGTCATGAGTGGTTTTGAATCTGATTATGTGAGTTTTTGCATAATCATAAAGTTAGGTCTTAAGCCATTTGCTTGGAACCATGAGTTCATCAAATACATGATTGATTGTGTATTTTTCATAATGTTTTGGAATTTCAAATCTGACCCCATTCTCAATTGAGTGAGAAAGTCTGATAGTGCTCTACTGTACTTTGATTGCTCAGTGAGAAAGAGTATAATCAACAAGCCATTTGTAAAGATTTAAATATTCACATTGGACTTGGATCATTTTACAATCATATTTCCCTGTTACAGGTTCTAGGGCTGTGCTTGAATCAGTGTGATCATACTAGACATGTGATTTTTCCTACAAGATATTTGCAATGCTAAGTATATTCTATATGAAGTCTTATCTGTGTACTGTTAATTAATTGTTTTAGTATTTATTCTGCAATGTTTAGTTAAAATTGTATCAGCTTTTGTATGGCTTTAGTTTGTACTAGTGAAGTTAAAATAATTATATCAATTATATTTGTATGTTAAAATTTTGTTAAAATAAGTTGTTCTTATTTATTACCTTTCAAAAGAAAGACCCATATTTGATAAAAATATTGTAGTTTTCTTGTGTATTTCCTGAACAAGTTACTTGGCACCCCATCATAATCCAGAATAAACACTATCCTAACATACTTTTAAAGATTGATTGAGCTGAAAACCCTAACACTTTATACTATACTTTGAAAAACCTAGTAAAATAATTTAAGAATCTAAATCAGCCAACCTAATCAATAAGTTAAAAAATAGAGTTTTTAGGTTTGCTATCTATTTTATCGTTATGTCTACAGTACTCAATAAGGCGTTACATTGTATGCACTGCCAGACTGATTGAAACAATTTGAAACGTTGATATGAGCAATGGATTGGTGACTAAATGAAAATCAATAAACATTATGTACTATACTAAACATCACCTGTGTAGTGTTCTTATTGCACTCGTACCACTGAATAGTACATTCTATCTTTACAATATAATTTTCACCACACTACACTGAAAGGGGTACAGTAGCTGGTTTCTATACTCTTAAGCAGCCCACACACTAGCGCGCATATGCCTTGCGTGGCTCGTGTTGAGGTGACTGCGAGCGGTCGAGGCACATGTGTGACTTAAATAGTGACCACCCACTAAAGACACATGCGCGCCACATTGTCCTTGACTATGCAAATACTGGGTTATAACAGCAAATACTGTACAACAGTTATGTTGAAATCATTATAATAAACTGAATTGTATTGTGACCTTGTTACTTTTTAACTATTTGTTTTTCATTTTTGTATTTTTTAGTACTGAGGATTTTTAAGATAACAAACAAAGTTACTAAAGAATAAAATATGCCTTTTAATAGGACATCAGACGTGATTATTCTTCAATTAATGGCTGAGTTAAATCCAGCAAAAAGTGATGAAAAGTTGTTATGGTTTTTAGGTTTATAATACGCTTATAAGCCTATAAAGAGTGATAACTAAGGCATTTAGAGTATAAGAGTTTTAGACTTGGATTTAATAAGTGTACATATGTATGAAAAAAATAAAATTTGATTTTTTAAGATGTTTTAACCAATTGTAAGGACCTCAAAGTTAAAAAAGCTAAATAGAGTCAAAAGCTGAGAAGTTTAAAATTTCCAAATATAGAGTATTGCAAAGTTTGGGGGGGGGGAGTAAATATTAAATTTTGGACCTTTTGGACCACCTAAGGCTGTTCTTCCTTGGCATGAGCTTGCCTTATACAAATTTGTCAAATATCTTTGTGTTATCTTCAATAATTGTGAATATGCATTAAGTTAAGTAATAAAACACGTATACAAATTAAACTGTATTTACTGACACATAAACAAACATTGAGTACCTAGTATTTAAGCATAATGTAAATAGGTAACTCAACAAATGGTTTGCACAATGTAGGTATGCATTGTACACTCTTATATAACGAGATCAAATGTTAAATATTTCCACTGAACAGATACACATTGAACAATATTTTCAACAAAGAAACATAAATCATGTCACCGAACTACTTGCCAAATGAGGCGCCTTTGCCAATGAATGGAATGTTTAAGTATTATTGAGCTGTGAGGTTAGGTGCAACATTAACAAAAAACCAAAACACAGCACAAAGGCATCCTGGTGGGACGTTGACTGTATCTTCCTCAAAGAAGAACACTTTGGCTTCTGTCAAAGACATCTCCACAACTTCTATGAACTCCCCTTCTCCTTGTAGACCTCCTCCTGCAATGAAAACATTGGGTCTTGAATATTATATTTCATCGCTAGGGCTAAAATGTCTGAGACGAAGCCGAGGTCGGAAAATGAGCGAGTGTTGAAAAGACACTGTTTGCTGTGCGATGAACTATATTTTTTGTCATTTTGCACCATTACTACAAATGAACTACAAAACAAAAATTGTTTTTATGTAAAATAAGCTCCCAAAATAACCATTGCGTAAAGATAGTTTTAACGACAGGAGTAGAAAATTTAAGGTACGAGCCTTAAAACTTCTACGAGTGTCGTTAACACTATTTACGCGAGTTACGTACACTCCTTTACCTAAGACAGTGTTTTAATCACTAAAAATCACTACTCATAACTTTTAAGGGAGGTTATGTTTTTGTTTATATCCTCTCATTGCCACTGACAGTGATGCATCAAAACATTGAAACACTAACTGCACCACTCAACAATTAAATTGGTCTGAACAGCTGATTAGTTGAAGTTCAAATCATTACAATTTTACTTCTTTTCTCTCAATCCTTCAACCTCATTGGTCCGGTACCCGTGTTGTTATGAGTAAAACTATGCTGCTATGAAAGTAACCATGCTGTTATGAGAAACTTTTCAATTCCAAGAACTTAACTGAAACGGCTACTTTAAAAAACGGTCGTAGGCAAACACATTAACATTGCTGTTTGGATATTTAACAGAAGAATATGCTACGTTGTACTGTATCAACTCAAATACTTAATGGGGTTACTTTTTTCTGTAAGTTTTAAACTTTTGATAAAAAAAAACATATTTTACAAATAACATTACTCTATGACAAAGAAAAAACACAGTTTATGTGAGAGTAAAACATTATTTAAAGCAGCGGTTCCCAAATCTTTTGGTCCGGTGACCCACCACTGACTTGGAATTTTTCCTGACGACCCACTTATAAAATAATATTATTAGGCTATGATTATATATTAATATATATTTATTAATTTAATCATGCACATTGAGAAACACACAACTAAATGGAAATTGTGAGGACAGCGTTATTCAAAACAAAATTTCTAGTCCAAAACACTATTTTTTTTTTTATTTAGAACATAACAAAATTTTAGAACATAAGTTTAGGCTTAATATTTAGGCCTACAAGAGACTTTATCTCGATTGAATGTTGACAACTACTTGGGCATTTTCCACACATATCCTATTACTAAATTTAATTTTTAAAGAGGATGCCCTCTCACACAAATATGTTTTTAACGACTCAATTAGCTATTTTCGATACTGAATTGATACGATTTCTTTTTATTGGTCTACGTGTTTTAAAACATTAACTAACTATAGTTCATAAAATAATTGTTTTATAACTCTTCAGCTAAAAGATGAACAAATATGTTATATTTTCTTTAGATTTCAGTAAAACAAGTGTTTTTGGAAGTTTTTGGGTCCAGTTGGCCTACTAATACACAGCAGTGGCCTACTTCGGGTCAGGCTCAAAATAAACAATATCCGATATCTAGTATTTCAAAAGATAAAGATAACTGAAGAAACTGTCGTACTAACACTTTCTTCATCTTCACTTCTTCAACAATCTTTAAATTGTAAAGATAAAAAACCATTATAAATTATAAATTAAACATTATCAGAAATGTTTGTACATGAGGTTAATTGTTTACAATTTAACTAAGCCTTCCTGTCGATTCAACAACATAAACTCAAGTTTAGAAAAAATAGGGGCATGAAGGTACGTTTCATATGTTTGTTCAGTAAATTTTGTGTAAGTTTGTATACATAATGTTATGTATCTATCACAAATCCATATTACTTATTTTCTGTAATCGGGGCACTAAGGTAATACTCTCCAACAATTACTGTGACGTCATAATCATCGTCCGCATTTGTAGTAACGCCATGATAATCTACACGTCGTAAAGAATCAACAAAAAACATATGTGCTAAATCGGCCCTTTGCATTTTGCAGCAATACTGTAAAACTTTGGTTGCAAAATCATTGAAGACATTTTCTTTTATCGCAATATTAGAGCGTTATTCACGCTCAAAACACCCAAAACTTAAGGGGGGGGGGGATGAGGGGGATAGAACCCCCCCTCATCATAATCCCAAAATGAAAATAAATATTTGTATCACAGCAATCCTGCTTCTTTAAAATACAGTTGCGTGAAATGAAATCTGTAGTAGGTAAAGACTACTATACTGTTTACTTTCAACTATCTATGTGCATTATGAATGGTTTAACGAGTTTATGAACAGATTTGTTTAAGAAACACATTGTGACTGTAACTGTGGGTAGTTCTAGTTCTAGTATTTCCTGAATCTGACCGGCCAGACTCAGAGATAGCCTCAACTGAGTTGATTTTTTGAGTTCTTTTGAACGTGATTACACCTCTGAAATGCCTGAAAACAAAAACATGAGTTTGGAGTTCTATTTTTTCAAAATTTTCTGGAACCCCCTCTTTGCTGGGGGGTGTACCTCCCCCCCCCCCACATGAGTGCAGACTTTGAGCTCATCCATCCCCCCCAAAGCCATGTTCTAGTTACTCCACTGATTGAAATCCACACATAGAAATTGGGAACAAAAGTTTCCTGAACAAATTGGCATTTTAAATTCCTAATGTAAAGCTAAAACAAGTCAATCACATTAAACAGTGAATAATATTCTGAAAAATGTTCATGTACCGTACAGTACACTCTACGTACAGCCCTGTCCTTATTATCTGCTCGGTACTGTTCTGGTACACAGCAGACCGTTCCAGTAGTCCGGGGTACAAAAAAAAGGACTCATCGCGACCCACCAAAATTGCTCCCGCGTAATCGTGACCCATAGTTTGGGAACCGCAGGTTTAAAGATAAAAAAAACTGAAAACAACAGATTGTTATAACAAAATTTTAAGTATCATTATGGGTGAACTTTTTAGTACGCCTGGAATTATAAATCTACTCTAAGAATAACATGCTCAATATTAACATTAATAAAATTATAATCTGATATATTAATTTACTCGTTTACATTATAAAATATAAATGTGAACAACCACAACTGTCAACTACACAACCAATGAGTCTTATGATTAAATTGTTAATGGGTTATTTCTACCACTACTGACAGTGAGTGAACTAATAATGGACTTACTAAAGCCATGCTATATGGGCTAGACATTAGGAATTATGTGGCAGAATAGCCACATCAATGCAAACAGAAACTCTGGCGGAGAGTTTTCTAAATCTCCGCTATCTAGTAACTGTTTTGTTTCTAACAGACCCATCTCAACAACCTCTATAAACTCTCCTTCCTCCGCTAAACCACCACCTGCAAAACATCAATATCTCAGGCAGAGACAAAAAAAAAAAAAAAAAATATTAGGCTACATCATATCACAGTTCCCAAAACAAACATAACTTTCAATTTTTTGTGTCCTTCATTTCAATTATCAGGCCAAAACTTGTTAGAGTCCCTTCTACATAAGGATTAATTTTGAATGGAAAAAGACAGTTAGTTATCTTTTAGAGATTGGCCACACATGATCAGGGAATTGGAAAATTTAGAAAAAGATCACTCGCTAGATTTTATGCTCCAAATAGGAGTTCGCTAACATTACTAACATTAGCTGTGAAAGTTGGAGGTAGACTCTTATAACTCGTTAAAAATCTGATTAGGATCCAACAAAATATTTATTAAATTTGATTTTTACCTGCCTATATAGGCCTACTTAATATATACATTTTCCAATAGGTATTGAATATCAGTTTGGCAAGATGGTTAAAATAAAAAGACGTCCCAAATCAGTCAGAGTGACTACATACAAAGAAGCTCACCACATGCACATTACTGTATTTCATGACCACATTTCATAAAACACACACACCAAATTCTTATCCCCATATTCACAACCAATGATGATAAATTTAAATACTGTCATACTTCTCACCCCAAACAAAATGAAATATGTTTCCTTTATACATGCCTATACAGTGGACTCTCTCTTCTTAGGGTTCCTATGACCGACTCAGGTACTCGCTCCACCTTGTGTGTAGTATGCTTTGTAAAGGAAGAACAATGGTTTGATAGATAACAAAATCAACAAGTCTCAACATGACAATCAAACCCTTCATGGACCATTACCAGCTGGTCCCGCACAACGCTTTTACAACCCAATTCACGGCGCTTCCGTGGACGCCCTAGCTCAATATTAACATTAATAAAATTATTATAATAATAAAATTATTATTATTAATATTGAACTATGGCGTTCAAGGAAGCGTCACTAATAAGATTGTAAGGGGTCGTGCGGGACCAGCCGATAATGACCCTGCAGGTCAGTTTGGGCTACCTCAAGTTAAGGTGTGACTATAGTGCCTAATTTTGATAGTTTGGATTTTTTTAGTTCTTTTTTTTCGGATCTTGAGGTGGATTTTTTAATTCTTTTTTCAGATCTTGAGGTGCCCAAAGGAGATGGAGTCTACTGTATCTATTCTGGGAGGACACAGAGACCCACAAGGCCATAGCCTGGAGTGGCTTCACAGGATTTCTTTTTCTACTGAAAATGAATTTTGTGTCGAGCTCGGGCTACAATGATGGTGTTCAGTATTTTGCCATCATCACAGGACATGATGATGATGTTTCGGCGATCGTGGAAGATGTTCACATGTCCGTCATAGAAGTAGTTTAATCTGATTGTAGTTTAATCTGATTGTAGTACAATATTCATTTTTTAAATAATATTTTCCAAAGTAATCCGACTTTGACTAGACAAGATTTTGGTCCGAGACCCGGAGGTCAACTTTTTTGACCTGATGTAAAAGTCTGACCTTCAGACCCCTAATATTACTTTTAAATATGATATAAAATTATTTATCAGCTAGTCTCCTAGGTCTATTCGCCGGTAAGATTATAGAAAAAGGTTGTGATCATTAAGTTTGAATCATTACCATGTTTATTTTTAAACCTCTAACTACCAATGAATCAGATGAGAGGGGCCTCTCTGGAGTGAACCACCAGGGGCCATATACAGGGTGTCACAAAAAAGTGTGATGGGCTATACAGGACCTAATTCTACATGCAAAAATAAGTCAAAAATGAAGAATAAAATTTTTTGGATTTCGGCTTAGCTTAGCCGTAATCCGCCATTTTGTTTTTTTGGGAAAATATTTATTATTTCAAAATCCCTTTGAGATATTTTTACGAAACTTGGCAAAATTGTTTACACTATAGTAAGTAACATTTATAAGAAAATTATTATTTTAACTTTCCAAATTTCAAAATGGCGGCCGTTTGAATTTTTTAATGCCAAATTTCATGAAAACCGGTACCTAAATCAAAATTTTGTAAGACACAAAAGTTTTGGTATTTATTATGACAAATCCAACAAAACAAAAATAAATAAAATCGGTTCATAAATAAAGAAGCTGTGTTTATTTTAGTAATTTATACTGAAATTATTAATACTAAAATGTATTAAATGTAATGTAATAATTTATGTAACGTATTAAGTAATTTCAGTCTAAATCACTAAAATAAACACAGCTTCTTTATTTATGAACCGATTTTATTCATTTTTGTTTTGTTGGATTTGTCATAATAAATACTAATACTACTTGATTTTCATGAAATTAGGCATTAAAAAATTCAAACGGCCGCCATTTTGAAATTTGGAAAGTTAAAATAATAATTTTTTGTATAAATGTTACTTACTATAGTGTAAACAACTTTGCCAAGTTTCGTAAAAATATCTCAAAGGGATTTTGAAATAATAAATATTTTCCCCAAAAAACAAAATGGCGGATTACGGCTAAGCTAAGCCGAAATCCAAAAAATTTTATTCTACATTTTTGACTTATTTTTGCATGTAGAATTAGGTCCTGTATAGCCCATCACACTTTTTTGTGACACCCTGTAGATTGAGACAGTAGCGGAAATACTGCTAAATCAAAAATCCAACCGACATCTGAAGATCGATCTTGATCTTCGAATGATTGCTTCCAAAGTCTGAACAAACAGTAAAGACGTCTGTCGATAGCGCTAAAACAACTTAAGACTGTACAAAAATTTTGTTTAAACTGATGCCAAAGTATTGAAAGTACCGACCATCAGATGCCGGATTAGCAAGCTTTTACTGTAGAACAAAATAAGTGTTACCCTAATGTATTAGCTCTCATGATGCTCTACGTGAGTGTTATTTATTATTCCTCCAATGGTTAGAAATATGTATTCATTTTAAACTGCTTACCTCCACCAACTTTCATGTCATCAGTTACTTCTGCATAGAATAAAGTTTGCTGTTCTCCTGCGAATCCTACAGCTCCCCTGAAACAAATTTGTTTCTAGGAGAACATGTAGACTTATACCAGTGACTTGGCAGGGCAAAGAAATCATTTAAATCTCAACTTGGTAAGCAACCTACTTAATTTTTTAAGCAAAGTTTTAAGAGCATGTTCATTATTTACCCTTATTTTTATTATCAAATGGGTTAAAAGTGATAACACGGTTTAAGGGTGCGCTTTACCTCAGCTCGGAAATCTCAGCTTGGGATTCAGTACCTAGCTATGTTTTACCATTGGACAGCGCTGCGAGAAGCGCTCACAGACGTTTCCAAGATTACTGTTTTAGAATTAACAAATAATGATAGCTACGCACTCTAAACGGCTTATAGTAGTACAAAGACCAATCTATAGTTCTGTGTTTTTCAAAAGTTCGAAAAACGTTTTTTTGTATAAGTTAAGGCTAGTTGAAAAGACCCTTTTTTCTTGTACTACAACTCAAGTTTATAAGGTGTGTATTTAAAATAATTGAAATATAGAAACAAAGAACTATAGAAAATTTCATCCTCTTTAATATGAGACCTTAACTTTGATTCTACCTTCAATGTAGCAGGTGAAAACAGAAATCTTGCAAACCCTTGCATTCGGTTGCGTGTCAGGGGTAAAGCGCACCCTTAAATGCATTCTCAAATATACCTGTATTTCTTTATCTGTTTCAGGTTTTTGAGTGGAACATCATAACCACACTCTTCCAAAACCTCTTCACGAGCTATTTCTTCAATTGATTTATCTTTATCAATTATACCAGCACACAGTTCTAATGTGATTCCTAAACTTGCAGGATACTTTTCTGTATCTATGGGGTTACTTCTGTCTTGAAAAGGAATGGAGTTGTACCACACAGCTGAAACAACATAAATTACAGTTGTGATAAGTAACACATAAAAATATGCTATCTATAGAATTTTAAGAAGGAATTACAATTGATTGTATTGTACCTGTTTGGGGGGGGGGGGGTACCTAGGGGAGGTATTGTTTGATTTTGTTTAATATTTTAATTACCAACCCGAAAAGATTCAAAAGGGCACTTACTTCATAAAAAAATAAAATCTTTTTAACACTTGCACATTTAAAAACCTGGTTTCTTTATAAAAACAGAATCTATTTTGGATTGTTTAAATTTGACCTGTGATATATATATATTAAAAATATTGATAAATTAGTACAGTTGGCATATTGAAAAATTGTGCTTGAAAGGGATAATTATGCTGCTTAACAACTACTTATTTTGATTTTGTTACCAAATTAATGTCACTAATAATATAAATACACTTAGATTAATGGGAAATCATTTTGTAATGCAGTAAATTTCCTACAATTAGCCTAGATAGCTTCAGCAGATTTACACAAAGTCAGCTACTGGTACCTATTTAATTTACTAATAATGAATAGGCCCACTTATGGCTTGTCAAATATAAACAAGAACCAGCTTAATTCTTAGATTTTGCTAATAATTGAAAAATAAAAAATTAATATATGTCTAATAATACAAAAAGGATGGTAAGTGGTGATCAATTTAGATTGGACACTCAATTCAGAATCAGACACAATAGGCACTATTACATTTGCCCATTGGGTCTGATGATGAATGGAGAGTCCAATCTAAATCAATTACCACTTACCATCCTTTATATGTATTTGCCGTCTTGTGAGTCAACAGTATAGGTGTAAATATTTAATATATCAAGTGCTCTCATACGTAAATATTTTTGTTTTTTCAGGTAATTTCATATCATGTACAAAGCTAATCAAGAAGTTATTAATAATAGTTGTATTCTTTTGGTTTTATTGGTTATAGCGAAATCAAACTTAATTTAGGCAACTAGGAACCTCAAGTAAAAAAGTTTAGAAGGAGCCATTCTGTTGATAGGTTCCAAATCAATGTTAATTGATAGCATCCACAGAAAATTTATAGTTTTAATTTAATATTAGATATAGAAACGGGGCAACATCTACATATTCAACAAAATAGTTTTTGGCTGCAATGACGAACCTTTCAACGGCAGCCCAAAAATTCACATAAGCACATAAATCGTCTTTGTCTTGTACAAATAATTATAACCAAAATTAATTTAAATAAGGTACATATAAAAATCATTATTGAATTAAGGCCAACACACACCGGGCGTCCATCCATCCACAGATGGACGTCTGCACGCGGACTAAAGACACTCTCAACACACACCAAAATATCCATCCAGTAAGCATGGTTTTTGTTTCGATGGTGTGAGAGTTAGGGGGGGTGCACTAAAGATAGGAGAGAGAGTCAGAGACGTCTGCGGTGAATCGCTCATCGACGGATTTTTGTCGCATCTGCGAGTTGATAGAGGCAGTGTGTGTTGACCCATTTAATAAGCAGGGTAGCGATATTTCCGTTTGGGGTTGGACGCAAGCCTGGTGTGTGTTGGGCTTTATTAAAAATTGTGAATTTCAAGCTTAAGTTTTTTAACCAACAAATGTATTACAACCTTAAAGAGCCATTTTATTTTATTAAAGGAAAGCATACAAAAACGAACCCTACATTTATATATAAAAAAAACATAACAAGCTGTAAGTGCAACAATACATATCTTGACTATCAAACTGAACAGGTAGGCTATTTGGTAGGGGAAACAATAAATAACTTTTATGCTACAAATAAATTTCAAACTAAAATAAATAAGTGCGTAGTGATGATTAAAATTTGGCACTAAAGCTACTTACACAATATTTGTCACTATCACAATATGAATAAGCTAGTATACACATATAAGTTACTAGACTAATTCTTACCAGGTCTAAATTGTTTCACAAAAACCAAAACTTTCCTCGATGTATTGAAAATTATGATCGAGACACTGAAAAAGGATTAGATTAATAGATGAGGAAAAACCATTAAAAATTTTAACGTAAATAATTGTTTTATTCAATAGTCAGTAACAACCATTTTCTTAGCTATTTCCATTTATGTTGAGAAAACTTTGATACATAGCATGTGTTACACACTGCGCTTGTTTTATAATGTACTTAGCTGCTCTACCCGTGCTTCGCAACGCGAAGAAAAATCAGTTTCATAATCATTGAAGTAGATTTAGAATAAATAATCTATGATAAAGTTTTAGATTGAATCATCCTACCACATAAGTTAGTTGTGTAACATATATTTAATTTCTTTGGATCAGCTGTCTAATTGTGAAATACGCATTTGGCAATTTGTCTTTGCCTTTATTCACTTATTTACTAGTCGTGTAGTCCCATCCTACACACAGAGATAAAATAGTCGGTTAAAAGTGTCAAACAGTATTTAATTTAGGAACACTGATTTACACATAAAGTTCAAATTTTTCAAGAGCTGCAGATAAAAAAACTCTTTTACACATGCAATTGTATCACTTGTCTCTTTAATATAGACCACAGTCTAAAGATGTCTTTTACCTCATCTTTGGTCTTCCATTCTTTGGTCGTCTACCTTGCGGTACTCATTGGAATACAATTTTAACTATTGAACAAAAGTCGATTCTCTCCTCCACACTTGGCATGTTCCCCTTAGCCGTTTACCTTTAAAGTAAGTGTTTAAGTTTTTGAACATTTTCTGTTACGTCTCACCGTCCTAATCCAATAAGAGTCTGATTACAGAGGGCTGAATGTAGTTTAAAGTTGTATTCTATGATGAGTTACATTACTTATTCTATTCTTTTGGAGGAGTGTTACTATGAATGTAACAATTCTACTAAAAAAGGGCCACAAACTATCCCTAGTCTTGCAGCCAACTGCTTCCTCTCAATTTGTCAGCAATTTACAATGATATAAAAAGTATTTTTTAAAGGTACAAGTAAAACCAAATATTATTAAGGTTTAAGGATAGCTATAGCTAATTGATTTTTACTTAAGTAATAATAAAACGTTGCTATAAAAATTCTAGGTATCAATAAAACATTTATATAGCTAGATACCGTAGGTAAAAAGGCAAAGGTCTGGTATGTTCCCATATAAATATTAGAAGTTACATTCACATACTAAAAAAACAAAAAAAAAAACAGTACCTAGTTCATACAGTAGCCTAAAAGTGTTAAACTTTGATTTACAATTTTTCAATTTTACAAGTTTTCAATACAGTACTAATAAACCACATGGATTTTAGATAGGTTTAATTACCTGCTATGAGTTTGAATAAGATCCCATCTCTTTTTCACGCCATTCTAAAACATACATTTTAATTTAGATACATAGATTTTAGATAGGTTTAATTACCTGCTATGAGTTTGAATAAGATCCCATCTCTTTTTCACGCCATTCTAAAACATACATTTGGAATAAAGCAAGTAAGTTCTAAATCAAATTGTTATGACAAATAAAAAGATCACAGACCTAAAAAATCATTTTTTAAATTAAAAATACAATCTATTAATTCTTTACTGAATTTCCATAAGATAAGGACGTTTTTTAAGATCCTGAGTTGCCACACAGGTTCCAAAAATATTTCTAAAAATAAATTATGGCAATCTTTTTTGTACAACTCCATTGTATTTAACTTACAAAAGTAACAAACCAAAATCTGTTAGTATTTTCATGGGTCACTGGGAGTTTTAACCCCCTGGAGTTTTACTTCCCATGGGTAAAACTGATGTTAGCCTACTTACTATTACGTAGTAAACTGAGTGATCTCAAGTTTAATCATAGTAATAGAATTTTACCTCCTTTTGATATGGGAGTGTGATAAAATAGACAGAGAGCAATTATCAAATATTATCATAAATTATATAAATTATTTAAGATGGGATACCACTATGTGCGTATTTAAACCCAAATATGAGTGAAGGATGAGTGGCGTGATCTTGTAGTCTTTTTAGTAACTAAGGCCAAACATGTTCTTTAAACACTAATTAATAACAATGATAATATTAATCTGTATAAATATAAAAGAGGATGTTTGTATATATATATTTGGCAATGATAAACTCAGACACCGCTGGACCGATGGCCATGGAACTTGGTACCGGTACATATATGTGGAATTTCATGGAATAGGTTTGTACATAATTCATTTTATGATAACTTTCAGGGCTTAGCCCCCCTGGGACCATCTTGAAGGTAACCATGTCAGGGATTTTTAAAGACTATTTGAAAAAAATCAAAGATATGTTTGATTGAACATTGTTCATTTATTCTACTCATACTGTGCAACTCACGTGTTTGCGGTCTGAAAACAACTCACCTCTGCTGTGACGTTAACTTCGCCTTGGGGTAGATTCCAGGGGGATAAATTTCACTAATTCATTTTCATTATTGAAAATTGAATTAAAAGGCGAGGACGCAGCAGCGACTTAGTCACTCGGATATTAAATTAAAATGCTGCTTTTAAACACCAAAACGAGCCGACAGTGCTGTGGTAGCGAGTTGGATTCGGATACTGAACTAAGGCGTGTCCACACCAAAGATGACAAAGAGTTGACGACCAAAAGTTGATAACTAAAGTTTACAAACTAAATGTTACTCTCAAATTTGAGCAACTAAGTTAGTGGAAAATTTTTTTTAGGGCGCGGCGGGCCGGGGGATTCTACTGCCTGACGTCACCGTTGGGTGCCTGGAGGGGGAATAGTTCTCCACAAGTTTTCTTCTACAAGTTGCTTGCGCAAGGTATGTAGCAACTTATCTTCCACCTTTAGTTGTCAACTTCCTTTGATCTTTACTGAAACTCCACGGGAAACCCAAATCAAGTAGAAGACTTGTCTCTCCACTAGTGGGAGACAGAAACAGTTGCGGTATTTTGTTGAAAAAGCAACTAATTGCCGCAAATAGTGGAACATGGAAGACTTTGGTGTAAACACTGCTTTAAACTGTAAGTTAGGCTATTAAAACCGTCACTACAAGTCGGCAGCACTTTTGAAGCGAGTCGTATTACTCGGGATTGAATACTGAGTCGAGTTGTCCCAGTATCGAGCACAACAGTCTCGAGTAAGCCAAATATTCGACTCATCACAACACTACGTTAAAATCTAAAGGAACCTGGGCTATAACTTTTATTGTTTGGATAAAGTAAATTATGAATGAAATTGAAACTGATCATGCAAAAATTTTCTTTGTTTAGGCTGTCCCCAAACTGGAGACGATTTAAATTTAAACAAAATAGCATAATGTCTGAAAAGCTCTAAATAAAAAAAGTTTACAAAGTATGCCTGGCAGTAGGAAAGGCGTTTGTCGATTAGTTCTTTTAGAACTATGAACGCTTATATTTATAGCTATCGTATGCAATAATGGGAGAATTATAGAATTATTTTATAGAAGCTAATGGATAGAAATACTGTACTGTAATCTCATCATAGGCCTAACTTACCTGCGTGTAATCAATTGATAATGGTTTTACATATTTTGATTCAACCGTTTTAGAAACAGAAACATTAGAAATGTTGAACATTTTACGATGAGTATTAAATTAATTTATATATGCTAGTAATATACGTTAGTTGTTTCTAAATAAAAAATTAACTGACTTAATTAATTATTGACTGCTTTGATGCAATCTAGTTTTGAGGTTATATTTTGAAAACATCTGTTCTGTTGAGTTTGAGTGTTGAATGTCGAGAAAAAGGTTTGCATAGAGTATAAGGCCACTAGAATAAAATAATGACAAGTAAGTAAGTTTATTTCAATAGTTAGCCTGTAAGCATTGATTATTAGTCACAATAATCAAAATCACCTTATTGCAAAATCCAAAGCCCATTTTAATGAGTGTTTATGGTTTAATATTTATTCCATGCCAACGTATTATGTACTCTGTAAAACGATCTTTAGGCTATAGTTTTAAATTTTTGTTATTTTATCTTACTGTGCTAGTATATTAATTTTTACTTTCTCCCCCTATACCATAGTATATGGAGAAAGTATTGTTTTCGTCAAAATTTTCGAGTTTGAGTTTTAAGTGGATATATTCGTTTTGGGCCCCCCTGGACCCAAAAAAGTGGTTTTCGAAGTGATGTGTGTGTCTGTGTGTCTGGTGGATATGTACAGAGCTAGAGACTACACCTGTGGTCCGATTTCGATGAAATGTGGTATGTAGGTTCTAATCCATGGTATCTCCAGGAGTTTTTTTTCATTTTTTTGAAATTTTTATTTTTAATGGGGATTTTCCCATAAAAACCCATAAAATAACGAAAAAATCGGATTTTCTCAAAAATGGCCCGAACGATTTTGATAAAAATTTAGTATGTTGTAGCCCTTCAAATTCTAAATAAAAAGGTACAAATCCCATTTCTGTAAAAATTACGGTTCAAAAATTATGGTTTAAAATGTTATTTTCCCATAAAAACCCCATAAAATAACGAAAAATAGGATTTTAGAAAAAAATCTGGTTTTGATTTAACATATTATGTTATGATCCTTACAATTTTGATAGTTTTTTTTATTTTTTAGAAATTTTTATTTTTAATGGGGATTTTCCCACAAAACCCCATAAAATAACGGAAAAATAGGATTTTCCCAAAAATGGACCGAACGATTTTGAAAAAATATTTTGTATGTTATAGTCCTTTAAATTCTGAAAAAAATTTTACAAATCCCATTTCCGTATATTTACTCTCACCGCTTACACAGTGGCGGTTGTAGGACCTTGTCAAGGGGGGGGGCTACCGGGGGGCTTGGGGGATGTGGAGCACCCACAAATAAAGCCGGGGGGTCCGGGGGTCCTCCCCCGGGAAAATTTGGAATTTTCTATGCTGTTTGGTGACTTTCTAAAGCCATTTTTAACACCTGAAACCGTGCCCAATTGTCCATAAACTCCCATTTCACCTGTTGTTTGTCATGAGCAAATAGACATTTAAAAAATTAAACTATGACGATTGCATTCATGAATTTCAAAACACACTGTAGACTACGGCCATATCCTCCTAAAAGCCGTTGGGTGACTTTCTACAGCCAGTTTTAACGTCTAGAACTGTGTGCAAAACCTCAAATTTACCCATTTATTTGTCATGAATAATCAGACATTTTTTAAACTAACTATGACGATTGCATTCATAAATCTCAAAACATATTGTAGGCAACGGCCATATCCTCCTAAAAGCTGTTTACTGACTTTCTAAAGCCATTATTAATGTCTATATCTGTGTCCAACTGTCCAAAAACCTCCCATTTCACCTGTTATTTGTCTTTGTTATGAGTAAGTAGACATTTAAAAAATCAAACTATGTTGAACTTGCATTCATGCATTTCAAAACATAGGCCTACTGTAGAATACGAAGCCATATATCCTAAAAGCCGTTTGGTGACTTTACAAAGCCATTTCTAACGTCTAGAACTGTGCCCAATTGTCATAAAACCTTCAATTTCACCTGTTATATGTCATGCAAACAAGTAGACACGTTTTTTTAACCTTACGTTTTTCTCCATTTCATAGATCTGTCACAATATGTATAGTATCGTATTCAGTAATAAACTCACTTCAGTATTGACTATATAAACTTAACACTAGTGTTTATATAGTCAATGGTAATAGGCTACTGGTGCTACCGCTGATTGTTGATTGATGCCTGTGTAAAGTGTTAGTGGCTAGCAGACAATTTGAAAACTAACTATGGAACATCAGGAAATCAGCTGTTTCACCGTCCTCGCTCGGCGCTCGCCTTTGCCCTAGCATGTCAACAGCTGACTGCTGTAAATATTGGATGATGCGTACAACCTTCCATAGCGTAATATTGTTTTATTCTTTGTGCTATTGTCCACAAAGTTTATCTATGTGCAACTTAATACTACTTCTGCCATTGCTTATTAAGTGTAATAAAAACTACACTGATGTCTGTTTTGTGACATTGCGTGTTTTAAGGACGAAACGTACGTTTAAATTTATTTTTCCAGGGTCCAGGGGGGGGGCTTTAGCCCCTGTATCCCCCCCCCCTTGGAACCGCCACTGCGCTTACACATGATAATGGTTGTTGACAAACTTATGGGAGATAGTATGTGTCAGAATGCTGATACCGTTTATTAGTATTATATTAGTATAGTAATAGTTTTCTTTGATAAAGCTTAGCAAAGATATGGAGCCCCTTGGGGGATCAATTCTCGATCCCTTCTTATTCCTCTGTTACCTGGAGGGTCTAGCTGTGCTATCTGGTCTAGAAATATGGGACAAGAACTAAAGAACAATACAATAATTAATTCGTCTCTATACAGAATGATACCTGTATGATTACATTACAACTAAATAAAGAAAACCTTGACGAATTCATAAATAAGTAAAGGTTTCTTATAAAGCTAAAATACTCTTCTAAATAATTGTAAAATCTAATTTTGAAACCAAAAAGGCCAATAGGACCTTTATATCCCACAATAACTCAAGATCACTGATTAGATCAATTTACAAAATAAACTTTTTCAGCAAATTGATACATACTTTCTCCCATAAAATCATATGCACCAACTTATATTCATTCAAGATAAATGATTAGATCAATTTACAAAACAAACTGTCCGAGTAAACTGATATATACTAACTTTCTCCCATGGAACAATAACTTTTTAAATATGTAAGCCATGTGAGTAAATCTGCTATTTTAGGGGGAAAATAACAAAAATTGCAATACTCTGTTGAAAAGTAAATTTGATTAAACATCATAGGGTGTTTGTCATATCCTTTATTCTATCTTGACTTCATATGATTTAGTTAATAATTCAAATAAGGTCAAGACAGATGATAATTGTTTTTCAATGTTTACATTTTACTTTATTATAGTCAATCATAACAATTTCAATAAAAGAGTTTCTTCAAATGTGTGCTTATTAATTCAAAGTCACAACAATTATTTGGCGACGAAGGAAAAACAGAATTATTACATGTAAGATTACTAAATTTTTCAGAATTTGGGTTCAAATTATTTTGTATTCAAAATGAATGCAGATCAGTTCAATCAATTCCTTACTATCTTTCAAGAACAACAAAGACAACAGCAAGAAAACCAGAACAAGTTTATTAAAGAAGTATTAGAAACTGTCTTAAAACAGAATGATCAACAGACTGAGATACCTCGGGTCAACTACTCAAATGTGGCTCCTTTTGAAAACTATGATCCAAAGAAAGAAAAATTTACATGTTACCTAGAACGTTTTGAAAACTATTACACCATGAAAGGCCTAACAGACTCAACTAAGATTGGACAGCTACTGTGCATCTCTATCGGCAGTGATCATTATAACAATCTTAATTCTTTTCTAGGCCCCGAGAAACAATTGAAAAGTCTCAACTATGATGAGCTTATCACAGCATTCAAGCAGTTATTGATTCCTAAGAAGAACGTTGTAGTATCTCAACACTATTTTCTAAATGTATTTCAAAAAGAACACCAATCAATAACAGAATTCGTGGCTTCCCTACAACGTGATATTGCTGAGTGTGAATTTTCTGTCAAGTGTTCATGTGACCAGACAGTTTCAATTGCCGAAGTTTTCCTGAGAGCCCAGTTTATTCGAGGTTTGCGAGATGACTGGCTACGAGAACAAATTCTACAGTCAACTGAAGTTACTTTTGAAGGAATCCTTACCAGAGCAATCGCCCTCGAAGCATCAAAAATTGAATCCAGGGAACTGTCTAAACGTTCACATTCAAGTAATGCAAATTTCAATATATGTGACGATGTGAATAAAGTTTCACATAAAGCAAGGAAATCTCAATTCCAAACCGGTAATCGACCTTCCAGACAGCATCAGGGTCACTCCTCACGCTCTCGAAAACGTCCAGATCTGAAATCTCTTGGAATTGGTAATCTTTGCTTCAGGTGTGGAAAAGACAATCACCAAGCATCCGAGTGCCGCACCGACAAATCTAAGCTCAAGTGCAACAAATGTAACAAGCAAGGACACATATCTAAAGTGTGCATTTCGACCCTTATCGCAGAACAGAAGAAAATCAATTCTCCCAGTGCAGCCAACTACATCCAGTGCTGTTCTCCTACAGAGTCTACATCGAAATTTTCTGATTACGGACTAAATAAAGTAACTAATGTCAATTCAAGCCCGAAGTTACTAGATCTGTTTGAAGTAAATAACGATTCAGACAAATACATGATCACAGTTAATCTCAATGGTAAACCACAACAATTCGAAGTAGACACAGGAGCAAAATTCTCACTTCTAGCTAAAAATGATTTCGACAAACTCAAATTGGACATTCCATTGGAAACAACTAACATTGCTTTCAGAACTTACTCAGGTAATATTATCAAACCTGAAGGGAAAGTGAAAATAAATGTTACTTACTGTGGACGTTGCGTCAAAGAGGAACTCCACATTGTTCCAACAGGACACGAAGCACTCTTGGGACGTCAATGGATAAGAGCCCTAGGAATCGAACTGAACAAATTGAATGAAGACACAAATCAAAGCACTCAAATTTCCCAAATCAAAAGAATCCAGTCTCCTGAAGAAATCTTTCAGTCTTTTTCCAACATTTTTGAAGAGAAAATTGGATGCGTTCCAGACTTCAAAGTGTCATTACAGCTTCGAAATGGTGCAAAACCTATTTTTGTTAAGGAACGAAATGTCCCACATGCTTTAACCGACCGAGTGAACAAGGAATTGGACACACTGGAAAATGAAGGGATCATTTCACCCGTGGAGGCCAGCGATTGGGGATCGCCACTGGTTGTCATTCCTAAACCAGACGGTGGTGTCCGCCTCTGCGTCGATTACAAATGCGGTGTCAACGAGCGTCTAATTCAAGCAAATCATCCTATAAGGCGTATTGATGATGTTATTGACAGTTTGCGCAATTCAAAATACTTTTGCAAACTTGACCTCTACAAAGCCTATTTACATCTCCAGGTGGATGAAGAATCTAGCATGATACAGACAATGACGACTCACAGAGGTACTTATAGAGTACATAGACTCAGTTTTGGCATCAAAACTGCACCATCAGAATTCAACCGCATACTCTCTCAGATCTTAAAGGGGTTACGTAAGACAGAAGCATATTTTGATGACATTATTGTGCATGGTTCGACCATTGAAGAATGCAGTGAAAATTTACAAGCCTGTCTACAGAGACTCTCTGATTACAATTTACATGTCAACAGAAACAAATGCTCATTTTTTCAAGAAAAAATTGAGTATTTAGGACGAGTCGTAGAGTTCAACAAAATTAGTAAATCTCCAACGAAAATTCAAGCAGTCCAACAGATGCCTCGCCCGTCCAATACTGAAGAGGTCAAACGTCTACTCGGACTTGTGTCGTACTACTCACGTTTCATCCCTGATGCTTCAACTATCACATATCCTCTGCGACGTCTGTTACAGAAAAATATGAAATGGGAATGGAATTCATCCTGTGAAGCAGCATTTTTACAAATCAAATCAGAGCTCTGCAGTGATCGAGTTCTCGTACCTTTCGATCCGGCTCTCCCTCTAGTACTAACTACAGACGCCAGCCCTACAGGACTTGCAGCCGTGCTTAGTCATGTCACAGAAGGAGAAGAAAAGCCCATTGCATATGCTTCTCGTTCTCTTACAGTTTCTGAAAGAAATTACAGTCAATTAGACCGTGAAAGCCTCGCTATTATTTTTGGCGTGTCACATTTCTACTATTACCTTTTTGGGACTCACTTCACACTAGTAACTGACAATGCACCCATTTCACGGATTTTCCAGCACAACAAAGCACTCCCTCAAATGACATCAGGACGTTTACTCCGATATGCATCTTACTTATCCGGGTTCAACTACACATTAAAATTCAAACCTGGCAAGGAAAATGAAAATGTTGACTGCCTCTCGAGAGCTCCACTTCAGCAAGTAAATTCGACTGTTGATGAAATCATTGCCAATGAAGTCAACCAAGTATACGAACAAATGATTTTCGAGATGTCAGATGAACACATAACCGCTTCAACAATAAGGAGTGAAACAGAAAAGGATCCAGACTTATCAAGAATTGTAAAAGATCTAAAAAACAAGTCTGATGAAACAGAATATACATTGGTTGACGGGATTTTATTTCGCCAAGATCGTGTAATTATTCCAAGAAGCTTACGACCATCAATCTTAAATGAACTTCATTATACCCACCTAGGTATAACAAAAATGAAACAGCTGGCCCGCCGCTACGTCTACTGGCCCAGTATCGACAAAGAAATAGAACGTATTGTCAAAGGATGTGAAAAATGTGCTCTCACACGTCACAGCCCTCCCAAAGTTCCAGTACATCCCTGGGATACACCACAAGAGAATTGGGAAAGGGTTCATATCGACTATGCAGGACCGCTTGATAATACATATTTCCTCATGTGTGTTGATGCAAAATCTAAATGGGCGGAGGTGAAAATCATCAAAGACTCACCTACTAGTGCGAACACAATTAATCTTTTAGAAGGAATTTTCTCATGTCATGGATATCCTCAAGTACTCGTTTCAGATAATGCTACCATTTTCAAAAGTGATATTTTTCAAAATTACTGCAAAACAAACGGTATTTTCCAGAAATTCATCGCTCCAGGGCATCCGGCAACAAACGGTTTAGGTGAGAGATCAATCCAAACACTAAAGAATCGCCTGAAAGCAGTCTCAACTGACCAAACTCCAATCCAAACCAAAATTCAAAATATTTTACAAAGGTACAGAGCAACACCGCTAGCTTGTGGTCAGTCCCCGGCGGAACTCTACCTGCACAGAAAAATAAGGATAAGACTAAATGCCATTTTCCCGTACAAACCTCAACCTTCAACTACACAGTCTTCACCTGCACGTTCACTATATGTGGGGGAGAGGGTACAGGTCAAACTTTTCATCAATAATAAAAACATATGGCAGTTTGGTCAAGTAAAGAAGAGGCTTGGGAAAAGACACTATCTCGTAGTTCTCGACTCATCTGATAGAATCCTGAAGAGGCACATCAATCAACTACGCCCAACGCTGGTACAGAGTCCAAAAACAAAAAATGTTACATTCGGACCAACGCAGTTGTTTGATGTTCCCAGAATTCCAAGACGACCAGAAATACATAGGAATCCAGATCCAGTTGCAGCTCCAGAACCAAGGCAACCAGAAGAACAATCTCCAGCAGAAAGAGCTCAAGCTGAGAATGTCATACCACATCGTGAGCAAGCTGATAATACCAACGCCAGACCACAGCGTAAGCGTCACATGCCCCCAAGATTTAGAGACTACCAGATTTGATTGAAAAAGATTGTTCTTAATTAGTGGGGAAGACTGTCATATCCTTTATTCTATCTTGACTTCATATGATTTAGTTAATAATTCAAATAAGGTCAAGACAGATGATAATTGTTTTTCAATGTTTACATTTTACTTTATTATAGTCAATCATAACAATTTCAATAAAAGAGTTTCTTCAAATGTGTGCTTATTAATTCAAAGTCACAACAGTGTTTTACCATTGTGTTTTAAGTTTAAAAACGACCTTAACATACTAAATTTATATCAAAACCATTCGAGCCGTATTCTTGAAAATCTTATATTTCATTTACCTAATGGGGTTTTAAAAAAAAAAAAAAAAAAAAAAAAACTATCAACAGAGCGGTCTCTAGAAAAATAGTAGCCTACATAATATATATTATGCTTTATTTCCTTGTAAAATACTTGAAAATATTTATTCGATTTACTCACCACTATATAACTATGGAGATTGCTTATAGCATTTTTGCAAATAAATTTTAAATAGTTAGGAAATCGACCAAAGTAGAAGATGATATTTTGAAAGAGAGTACATTTTCCTACAAATTACTATTATTCATTTCTCGATAATACTCAAATAAAAGCAGCTTAAACTTGGCTACAAATAGAAACTTGAAAAAAACGGGTTTTAAATATTTCTTATATGAAACTCGTGTTTTAATTTTCATCATACATCGTTATTATAGAACTTTCATAAATATTTGCAAATCTACACAGATTAAGCTTTCCAAGACAGTTAATTAATAATGGATCATACCAGTAGTAGTGAATATAGCCAATGGTTGTACAAAGTTTAAATATCATACACCAAATTTTCTTAAACCGTGTCCTCTCTCCTATTAACGAGTATAACTGCAATAAGCATTTTATACTTATACGCCAACCCCGTACGAAGGACGGGTACGCTGCTGGTAATCTTTAACTCTGTATTTTCTCATCACTAAATTCGGATGTTGCTTAGTTTTTTTGCAAATAACCTTTAAATGGTGAAGAAATTGACCAAAGTGGAAGGTGATTTTCTGAAAGAGAAGAACATTTCCTACAATTTACTATCATACATTTCTTGAAAATACTCAATAAAGGCATCCTAAATTTTACTACAAATAAAAACTTGAAACCCCCCTGCTTTAGCGAATTTCCCTATAGGGAATAAGCTATTACCGTAGGTCTCATGGTAAGACTTAGTCCCGGGACCGATTTACTTTTTCATTTTGATGTTCCTAGAAGCCAAAAACACCATCCGTTCAAATTCATATATATATATATATATATATATATATATATATATATATATATATCCGTCAGCACGATAACTCGAGCAAAAATGATCCGATTTCGAGCAAAAATGATCCGATTTCGATGAAATTTGGTACAAACGTGTAAACCTACGTTTATTTGAACGAGTTCGCGAGCCAGCATGATCGGACCATGGGAACGGGGTTTTATGGGGGGATTTATGGGGTAAAAATTGGTTTTTCTAATTTTTGACCCTCAAAACATAACATTTCCCGAATTTCTTCTAGACCATTTTGAAGAGCTTAAAAAAACAAATAATTCAGTATATTGAAGTGTTTTTGTATGGTTATTGGTTACGGAGAAGATTATAAATTAAAAATTCCCATGTTATTCTTATGGAGAATAAGTAAACTATTGTAGTTTGCTTGTATATGCATATATTTGGATCAAACTTGGCCAATCGATTTATTTTATACTAAGCTGTTAATATTTTACTGAAAAACACACTTTATTACCCTGTAGGCAGCAAACCTAGGTACTCGTTAAACCTAATGTTATTTGAATAGATTTAATTGAAAATCAAATCAGGCAAATGGAAATTCGCTTAGTCTGCAGGTTTGCTGCGGCGGGGGTATTAAATTACGTATTGTTGGGCTTTTACTTTTTCACCACAAATCTTTGATCAAATAAAAAATCCATAATAATTATTTGCAAATCTACACGAATTAAGTTTTCCAGCGACACATTAAATCGATCCTGTATAACTGAAGATTTAGTTGTACTGTACAAAGATAAACTGAATTATTATAAGGGTAGATTACCAAGTCGAAATTTAAACACACATTTTAAACGTCTGGATATACCATTGATTACCACCCATATACTAAATTTCATTAAAATTACACCACATGTGTAGTTTGTAGCTCTTTTACACATCTTCACAAACATAGACATTACTTCGAAACCACTTTTTGATTTTAGGGGGGCCCAAAACAGATATTTCCTCTCAAAACTCAAGCTCGTAAATGTTGACGAAAACATTACATTCTCTTCCCCTTATATTATGTATATGCGAGGAATATGCAGATCATAAGCTTTGAAATGTTACCAAGCGGTAAAAATCGTTTACGGGATATTATACAGCAATAAGTTGTAATAGAGAAACCCTTTATTGTATTTCAATATCATTTAGTGATTTTATTATATGTAAGCAAAATATGTAATTTTAGCGAATTTCCCTATAGGGAAGTAGCTATTACCGTAGGTGGTACGGTAAGACCTAGGCCCGGGACCGATTTACTTTTCATTTTGATGTCCCTAGAGGCCAAAAACACCATTCGTTCAAATTTTTATATATGTATATATATATATATATACATATATATATATATATATATATATATATATATATATATGTCCGTGAACACGATAACTTGAGTAATTTTTGTCCGATTTTGATGAAATTTGGTTTAAAGGTGTAAGGCGGGATAAACTTGAATGAGTTCGCGAACCAGCATGATCGGACCATGGGAACGGGGTTTTATGGGGTAAAAAATGGTTTTTCTCATTTTTGACCTTCAAAACACAAAATTTCCTAATTTCTCTCTAGACCTTTTTAAAGAGCTTAAAAAACAAATAATTTGGTGTATCAAAGTGTTTTTGTACGGTTATTGGTAACGGAGAAAATTCAAAAAATTGTAAATGTAAAATTTCTATACTATTCTTATGGAGAATATTGTAAAATGTTGTAGTTTGCTTGTTTATGGATATATTTTGATCAAACTTGGTAAATTTATTTATTTTATACTAAGCTATTAATATTTTACAAAAAAAAAATACACTTTATTAGTTTCCTTGTGGCAGCAAACCTATGTAGGTACTCATTAAACCTAATGTTATTTTAAAAGGTTTAGTTGAAAATTAATTCAGACAAATGGAAATTCGCTTAGTCTGCAGGTTTGCTGTGGCGGGGGTATTTATACTTTCACAAATCAGAAATAACCCATATTCGTATTCTTGGTCATAGACTATAAATGGCTGACTGTTTTATAATCGGTTTTAGAAGAAGATATTACTCGTTAAGAAATTGCCCTCTAAACTAATTTAGCCAATAAAAACTACAAATTATTTAGTCTTGACCTTTTTAAGTGAAAACTACACTACTCACAGGCACACATCTACTGTAGATCTTTGATATTTCGGAATGTCTAGACACTTCCCGCAACGAGAGTCTGGGAAATATCCATATTCAAATGCAATTTGTAACCTACCTTTTGACTTTTTTCAACCTGATTCCTCGTTATTTTCGCTCATCTCCCAGCTGCTGTATCACGAATTTTTGGTAACATATCGGTTTGAGAATTCTGTCTTCATGAAGAAGAAATCATATTGTGAACTTACAAAAACAGAAATATTGATCGTAATCTGACCTCAGTAAACAAGAATATATCTAAGATACTAAGTGTACAATGCTGTTGTTGTCTGCTTGCAATATTGAGCGGAGCTAGCATATTAATCTAACACTCTTCCAAAGTCAATACTACATCTGGTTAACGTAAATTGGATGTATACTTGCTGTCTCATAAGTCAATTCTGAATCTAGTTCACGTAAAATTAGACGTCTCCTTACATATCTTAAGTGAATGATACATCTGCTTCACATAAATGGGATCTACTTGCAGTATCTAAAGTCAATGCTTAACCTGTTTCTCGTACACGGGATCTCTACTTGCAGTATCTTAAGTCAATGGTACGTCTGGTTCACGTAAATGGAAAGTCTACTTGCAGTATCCAAAGTCAATGTTATAATTCGTTAACATGAATGGAATGGCTATTTGGAGTATGTATAGTCTTCTTCCCTTTTGTTCTGTATTTATAATGTGCTAGTTTGGATGATTCGTTGACTAACATATTTTAGTTAGGACTGTGCTGTGCTAAATTCCATCACAGAAAACATACTATTCCATGCGCATCGCTATGTAGCCCTTCAGGAGGAGTAATGTTGTAAAACAAAATCAGGGGCGTAAACAATTATTCCCCCATGATTTTGCTCAACTAAAAACCATAAATTAAATTCAGTGCGTTCATTTGGAACATTGAGTTGCTTTGCAGACACATTAGGTAATTGTTTACAATAAAGGAACAAAACGCCGTGTTCCCGATATTTTTATAACCAACCTGATCAATTAAAACGCGTTTCTGTTTGTTTAGTTCTGCATAATGGGTTGAACACGTATGGTTTAGAGAGCACACTCTTTGTACTATTTAATACAAAACAGCAATACAGTATACGATGAGTAGGTATGGTATGGAGTGAAAGGTATGGTATAAGTTGTTAGGTTGGCCGCCGGCCGCCGAGGTCCACCTCATGGGGGAGGGTCAGGCTAAGACTGCATCGTTACCTATTGGAAATTCCGAGTCGGAATGCGGGGACATTAATTAGCAAGCATCGGTCTCGTGAGAAAGTAATGTAGGAAATTATTTAATGTGTAGAGTCGCAAAAAGCAAAGTCTGAGGCCAAACAGGATGTTCAAGGAGCCGGTTCTGTGATTTATAAAACGCACTTCGATTTGTGTTCCCAATTAACAGGGGCTCTCCGCCCGCCACCAAAAAAACTGACACATCACCAGAAAAGATAACAGTGGGAAGATAAAACAACATTCAACAAATATTTTTGATTGTCTTGACGAAAGTCTCCGGGAATGTGAGGCGAAGACGTTCATTAAAATATCTCAGCGCTAGTGGCT